CTCGACGGATTTCACAACAACAATCACTGGATTGTCTTGCCCAGCCTCGATCAGCTACAGCCCGCCGTAATATGGCTTGAATAGTGTTGACTAAATGTATAAGACAACAAAGAGGCACACACATGAACTGGAAAAGTTGAGTTGTGACATGACAATTAACCCCGTATCACCGCCCACTGTACCCTTGTGAAGAAAAGGTTACAAGTAGTTCGATGGATATATGCGTGTCTCGGCTCAGAATTCTGGTATCGACATGTCACACCGACCTCTTGATAGTATTATGAGCAATATGTGTGTCATGGGAGCGTAGTCAGTTTCATCGCCATGACCTGCGCATACAAAACATGTTTACACTTTCTCTACCCGTGACAATACAAATATGTTTGCCAAACCTCGGTGCACTACCTACTTGTCCAAAAACTTGATTGTTGGTTCACCTTATCCTGGATGCTCAGTAGATTCCAACAATGGAACGATAAACCACACCTATCTTACTTTCGAATGCTTACTTGCAGGCCCATGAAGATCCGGGGTATATTTGGTCTTCAGCAACCCATGCTTGCCGTAAAAGGCAACTATGCTTGTCGAAAGAGGCGACTAACGGGATAGGGTGGGCAGACTCGCTGACTTTGTTGATGCATGTCATCGATCCCAGTTGCATGGATCGATGCTCATGATAGAAATTACTGCATTTTCTGCTCTAGACTCGATTATTTACAGACCGCCGTCATATAGCTGTAATATTGCTGAGTACGGCGTTAAACAGCAAACAAAGCAAACCATATCAAGCTTACTTGCAGCTCCTTATTTGTATCTCTTTTGAACCCAAATATTGAATGGCAGATTTCGATTTCCCTATCTATGTATGTTCCTGTGGTCTTTCCTTTGTGGCTTCTGGGCAGAGAGGGGAAGTCGGTGGCTCAACCCCTTACAACGTCATACCAAAATACGTTAACAGATGGTACCCTGCTTGGCGTTCGGCATTCAGAAGATAAAACAAAAAGTGGCGACTCTTTAAGCATTACATGGGTATCCAGATTTGTTACCATGATGTCTCCGTGAGCTAGCACTATACACTCCACACATCCAGTCATTTCTAAGCAGTCACACACTCACTATGTGCATAATGCTGCTATATAGGTTTTGAAAAAGGATTGTGATGGTTTCATTTTGCCTGAAATGACAAAAGAGTAACAAAGACCACATAATTACATTAAAGACAAAGCTGTCTTCCAATGTCATACAGGCTAGAATCAGGATAAAATGTTATGTTGTGATGAACAGAATTTCTTGCAACTACTGACGCATGTTGAGACGTCTACACGGTCCATATGCATCTATCCCACCTTAAAGTTTAAATTGGAAACGAGGAACGATAATAATTATAATTTAAGGTCAAAGCTACTCATTGTGGTAATCGAAAAATACACAACAATATTTTTTAAGACTTACCACAGTGAGTTTACAACCATAATTTGGCATCTTTATTTGCAGTGAAATCAAAATGGTTCCGAAATACTTTATCAATTTTTTTTGTATATGAGAGATTGTGATACTAAAGTGAAAACAATGAAAAACAAATCATTTCATAAAAAAATGAATTCAAATAGCCATGAAACAGGGCAAAGAGTACGGTCTATTCAACGAGCCAGAAAACCTACTTTGATACTAAATACAATACCTAAACAAACAAAAGATCATTTTACTGTACACGACCCAATGGTATTAAACGAACATTAGCGAAAGAAAATATTAAATGTACCCCTTAGTTACGATTGTTGTACCACGATTGAAACGTGTCCTATCGTAAAGAAACCATCCCACTTATAGCATCTCAGCTACACACGCTTCAGACAAACGGAACCCTATACCTGTACCGATCGTACATCCACAAACTCCTTCAAATGAGCAAACACTCATGAAAAACCTTTGCAACTTAAACATTTAGAATAAAGCTAACTGTAACAAAACGTCTGTATGAACTCTAATTAATTAACTCTCATTAAATTCCTGGGCACAACACCTGTACGTGTATAGATCAAGAGACACCTTTCCCAACGTCAACGACAAAATGACTGTTTTATCACTAAGAACACATAGGAAGCGGGTCCAAGTAAAACGATTCCATTAGTTGTGAAGGGCAAAAAACAGCGGTGAAAGGAATGGATCAGTGAACATCATGGTGATGAAACCAGGTGTTGGTCGAAAGGGTAAGCATGTCCTGGCCTAGCGGTTGCACCCGTCAGCGTTTGTTGCCCGACGCCGCATAGCAGTACACTTGCCGTGTGATGGCGGTATGTAGAGAAACCCTCTCAAGTGATGTACCAGAAATTCAGTCAAGCGATAGTGTATTTACTGAATGTGTTGAGACTAAAAACGATATGTTTTTTTTGAATGACGACAGGTTGTACAAGTGCAGAGATGCTGCTGATTGAAAGTAAAGGAAAAACGGTTAAGAAATATATTCATTTTGCAACACAGTGTGTGTGTGGGGGGGGGGGGGGGGGGGGGGGGGGGGGCAGTTTTAATGTTTGGGCATTAAGAATAAAGCTAGCTGTAACACAACTTCTGTATTAACTCTAAGGGGCATTTTTAATGTTGGGGTCAAAACAATTCTCCTGAGCTTATGATGGAATTCGGGTACTTGGTCCACCGGCAGGTACATCGACTCAGCTCAAGTAAATTTCAAACATCAAAGCCAGGGAATAACCACTCTCGATTTGTAAGACCTCTTGTGGACCCTGTAAAAAAAGATCGTTATACGTTGATAGTTAAGCTGTTTAAAGTGTTGATATTTTGAGTCGTATTATGTAAGTTACAACGTCTTTGATTATAATACTATCATATTCGTTGAATATTAATATAATCTTTATTTATATAAACAAAATGTTCATTATTCGTATTGGGTTTCGCTTCGATACGAGGGTTCTTAATTGATCAATGTCAAATTTGATGAACATTACGCCTATACGTCGCGTTTAATTTTCCTTCCTTTTTAATATTTAATTTTCTGTAGCAATTCAACCATGACTGCGTTGTGTTATCTAAAACTTGAATTTTTGCATTGACACATATCGAATATACGTAAATGTGGAAATATATTTATGTAGTACCAGTGTCTTGTTGCAGAACAGATTATGAAATATATTGTCCACTTCTGTTTATACCGAAATACTATATAGAAAATATGAAACTAGCCTTGAGAGAAGATATCCTTTCAGTCATTTGAGTATGTTCCAATATCTTTTTCGTTGTTAACGGCATCCGTTGTATGATTAATTACAGTGACAAAGTAATGAATATCATTTGTTTTGACACGAAGTATTGTTTAAAAAGAACAACCAAAACACATCACTTGAATTCAAAAGAGTTCGTTATTCATATTGTACTGTAGAGTATGCCCAACTATTAATATTTCATTTTCTGTCAGCTCTCTCGACAGGAATGATAGTTAAAATACATTCATAAGATTGTATTCGGTACACCTCTTCACGAACCATGATTTGGAGACTCCATTTGTATATGCAACGCATAGGCCTCCTATTATTTTACACAAACTTTCTCCATTTTCCAATGTGATATTTTCACCAACGGCCACACATTACTACATATCTATCACTAATGTTTACATGAAGCAGGATCTGAAGTGTGATATTTCTGGAACATTTTTTATACACCTTGAGATCCGATCTGAAGAGTGAATATTCTGAAATAGAGTGTGTACTCCAAAACGCTCAGATACGTTCAGATGAGCATACCATACTGGGAAGGTACACATAGCTCATCAGTGAAGAAGTAGAAAGCATTTGGCAGAAGCATGAGTGTTGAAGGTAGATTTATACATGTACACGAAGCGATCACTTATGCAAAATGCTGTGGCGCCAAATATACAGAGGTTATCACGCGAGTGTGTTTGGGGATGGTAAATATCCTGCATTAGGAATAAACATTGTATTTAGCGAGCCTTGGCGAGCTAAATACATAGTGTTTATTCCTAATACAGGATATTTACCATCCCCAAACACACAAGCGTGATAACCTCTTTATCATATAATGTCATGCTTTAATTCTGTGGTTTAAAATCGCTATCCCTCTCTCACAAACATTACCGAAACATTGCGAGTTTTCCTGGAATGCTCGCATTAATATTTATTACGTCACAGGGTAAGTGATGTATCAGTCGGACAGTGACAGTAGACAATATATACACAAAACAACAGTTGTTTTTAATTGCCTTTCGCGGCAATCCATCGGTCTGTCCGCTTTGTCAAAGGGAAGCTACTCTAACCCTAGTCTATGAGACGTCACGGGCACGGTCAGACGTTGTTGACAGTCGGTCTGTCCTTTCATAACGTTAAGAAGTGTAGTCAGATGTACACACAGCGACAAAACCAAACAAGGTAACAATTCAAACATATTTCGGCCAAATCCAACTATTTTAATTTGTGGAGACGGTTTCAAGTCGCAGAGGTCTACAAGCACAGATATGGCTACTGATCCCGCTTGGCTAGGCCTCGCGCCCTCGCAAAATTGTTTCGAAATTTATACCTCCAAAGTAGCCAAAACTTATAAAATGCCTTAGCTACGTCACAGTTAGACACTGATTTTCAGTATATTAGAGTGTTCTTTTGATAATGATAGCAATTATCCCTGTTGTTTATCCAGATTCCCGATGGTTAATTTTGACTCGATCGCCGAATGACGAGGACGACGCCATGTTTGTTTATAAACAGTGAAAGTAGTCCTACTTGACCTTTGATATTTGCATCTCTATCCGCATATGACCGAAACGGATATCGTTTGTATCCGTTGGCTTTATCCTGCCGAGAAACCTGCCTATTATATGATAAAGATAGATATTCAGTGCGTCTTTACTTTCTCCATGACCATGGATGGACAAAATACACTGATTATCAAATATAACATTAATGAATTTATTTATAATGAATAAATAAATGTATTATTTTTTTTAATTTTTTTTGCGAGTAAACGAGAATTGAAGATAACAATTCAACTGAACTTCAAATCATCCTAATCATGCTGTTTTCACATAAGCTTTAGGTATTATTCGCTAGGAAGTTTTGTTCATGGGCAGATGATTTTATTTATTAGCCCCGTCTCCCATTGGTTCCTTGAAAGCCTAGCCTATAAAGAGACAGGCAGCGTATTACGACGTCAGTCAGTTTCAAACCGTCAGAGTTATATCACCAGTACGCTTCGGAAACAGGTATGGTATTTAAGCAGACTTTTGTAGGTCAGGAAATATGCATGCATACATTTATGAGACATGTGGACGATACATCGTGCTTTTCACGGTAATACATCACTTGTTGATGAAGTGTTGTATTCAGTTGACATGTTGGCTGTTGATGGGTAGAGAATCTGATAGTCTACTTGGATAAAGCACCTATGTTTTTTGTGATAACGTAAAAATATAAAAATATCACTCCGGAATATACTGACATATTTAAGTTTGTATATGATTGCCTAAACACTATCTATGGTGGCGTTGATATGTTATATTATATATAGCTTGTAGTACATGTGTTAGCTACCTGTCAGTACAAGTGTTGTAATCAAGTAGACCTTCCCAAAAACATCGCCAAAATATTCGCCCCCTGTGTCTACCTTCTATGGGTGCTTTAAACTCCGTTGTCATTCGAGCAATCTCGTATCAACGTTTGAATGCCTGAGGGTTTTGTGTGAGACCAACAATTTGCCGACCTTCACAGCTCCATTATTTTGTCCATGCGCATGATCCTTTGTTATGTTGAAAATACATGTCTTGTCTTTTGAACTTTGAAATTGCATTTCCGAAATTCCTTCTGAATATTCAGATTGGCTGTTTTGCAAATAGATCATGTCTCGTACATAAATGACAGCCATCTAGCATGGTTCACGTGAGCCAAGAAAAAACCCAAGGTATCAGTTTTGTCAGGCAGTTGATGTAGAGGACAAAGTTTGCTTCCCTGAATGATTTCACCAAACTGTAGTTGTCCTAATTGCAGTGCGGTACCCCATATTGGATATGAGGACTGCATTTCTATCAGCATACCAAGTATGCATCTCCTTTGGCCCCTTGTGGTGTAGAATTAAGTGTACTGCATATAAGCCTCTTTCATTAAATTCTTCAATTAACAGGAAGCCACTTAGTGTGCATGCCAGGTCCCAGTTACTGAGGAAACCTTCAGAAATAAATCTGCAGTACCCGATGAAGGTACGTTGGCTTGAGCAAGTGCTTCCACCTATCCACTGCTTTTTCTACCAGTCACTGTCATCTGCAATCCTAATATGCTAGCCCCAAGATGGATAACAAGCTTTTCCAGTCCACAGTATTCAGGCCATTTCCATTGGCAACTGTGTAGAAGGGCTGATCGATGGTAATGACTGGAAAATGGCCAACATTAACATGCTCAACAGCTTTCGTAATCACATCCATTGACTGACAGAGATCATGGCTCGTGAAATTAGGGTAAACTGTAGGTTTTGTAAGCTAGGTTCTTGTCTTGAACATTGCCTTGCATGATATGCAGCCCAGGATATGATGCTGTCTTAGGAACATGCTGATGGCAGTTGATGTCCTCCTGGAGTGTCTGCAAAAAGGGGTTGCCATCACTTCTGACTGGCCCAACTGATTCTGGCATGGGAGAATCTACCTTCTTCCAGATCACTGGAGGAACACTTTTGTAATATCCTATCAACTCTGAAACGGATCCTGCTCCTGGTGAAAGTTCCCAGATGAGTCTGCGATCAATTCCATCATTCTGGCTCTTTACATTTTGGAACAGTCGATGAGCTAGTGTTGTGGTCAATGTTATCAACTGCTGAAGTCATGATTACGCCTAGTCGAAGATTTAGGGGACACAGAACCTCTTTTCTTTGATACTGTTCACAGATACTGTGCTCAATCTTTGTTGAGATGCCCAGTACTCGCATATGAGTCGGAAAGTCCAAGAGCCAAGATGGTATCTACACATTTTTTGTACTTTCAAGCGGCCAGTTATTATCTTGAAATGCATGGTCACGTATATAAACAACTCACCAAAAAACAGAACAAAAATTATTTTGTTGAGTATTACAATACTGGCAACTGTGAACGAAATAATGAAATACATTGAGGACGAAACAGGTTTGTGTGACATAGAGACAAGTTTCTTATGGAACATGTTGATATTCTTTTAATGTAATACTATTAACATGCTCATGCAACGACTGTAATATAATTAATTGTAAGAAAACTTTCCATGTGCTTATATTTCACATTTGGTGGTAGAATAAACGTAAATATAAAGAACACTGTTAACGTGTTGATAAATAACTAAAACCTCGGCTAATACACATACCATAGCTCAAATAAGCTTTTAAATAACATAAAAAGTAATCTCGTACTCTAAATGCTTATTGAGATATATTAAGAGAATCTTTGCCTGTAAAGGATAAATATATATCTGCTGGCCAGTTTGGAAAATGGCCGCCATGACCTATGGAAATAGACAATAAAGTGGCTCCAACTCTGAAAACATTGCCACATAATGATCAATCATTGTGCAAATAACCATGATTTTTATGACAAAGAGCAAACGGTTAAGTTACATTGCACATGTCCACTGTACTATTGATAAAGTACACAAATAAATCCAGACTGGTGATACACATGTATAGATTTCAACTTTCGTCACGCTCTTAGAATAGCTACCGTTGTGTCTTGACGACCAGTCTAACCAGCGAGCCATAACTACCACACTGAAACCCACAATGTCATACACAAACCCATACAATGATCAATATAGAAGTACCGCTGAACATGGCTAAAAAAATGTGTTTCATGTTATGACTTGACTCACGTGCTATTGGAAGCATATCGAGAGAATCTGACATCACAACAGCATGAGTCAGACCAGGTCTTGGTGACATAACACCATATATTGAATGTCGGTGAATTCAGCACGTAGCGAATTTCCTGGAATACTCATGTGGTCTGAATTAGACTTTTGAGTCTCGTGTTATTCAATATATATACATAAACGTTATTCAGAATCATTGAGCAATGAATACATGTTCAAAAGTATTTTCAGAATTCATTCTCCAACCTTTTAACACTCACTAGGTTATAATGACATTAAAGTATGTTGAGTTTGATCATGACCTGATTCAATGTTATTCGTCGTTGTCATGACAAGCATCGACCAAGTGGTATGTGAACTATTCCCTACACGTTGCGTGTCTGTTTGGGAAGGGTTGGATGCGGACTATAAGCATCCAGTTATCAGTTAAAACAGTTCATCAATTGCAAGTTTTACATTGACGCATTAGTATTGCCACCTACAGCTGTAAGTGAGTGAATGCTTTCACATCGACATCTTCTTTCAAGGAGCCAACAAACAATCGAGACTTGACCGGGTCATTTGTTGATTGCAACAGGAACCATCCACATTTAGTGAAGGCCCATTGATATGTACAGTGCATTATCCGTTTACTTTGCATTTGATGTTTTCGTTGGCAATCAAGTGCTCAATCCCTACAATGCTAAACAACCTTGATCATCTGACGTGAGACTCTTTCATCACAACCATTATGCTTTAACTGCCTTGAGATCCGAGTGACAAATGTCTAAAGATTGATATTTCAATTTAAGCTCCAATATCGTTGAAACAGTTCATAAACATCAGATCAGCATGTATAGTAGGTTGCATTCCAGATGTGCTAGCTATACAGAAAAAAAAACACAACGCATATCACTGTACGGATACCGTGCATGTGATTCACGGTAGATTAATGCATTCATTGATTAAAAACGACGAGATCACTCCCCAGCTAACACACGACGTTGTCACAACGTTGTGGAAAGGTTGTGGATTGGTAACGTCGTGAAATAACGTTGTCACAACGTTATTATAACGTCAACGTGCAACGTTATTTCACAACGTAATAACAACGTTGCACATTTACGTTGTGAAAACGTTGTGCATCGGACATCACACAACGTTTTGTAACTACGTTTCTGAAACGTCGGTGAAACGTTATAGAGTTTGCTTCTCGATAGTCATAAAGGAATAGAACTGCTTTATCAAAATCAACATGAATTTGATAGAATACCAAGGCAGTGATGCATTACCTGTCTACATATTCGGCATTTGAAATTTCATCTCTTAATACTAAAATTTCAAGAACGTAATTTCGTATCTCTATGACAACGTTAGTATTATGTTACATTGTAACGTTATTCCACAACGTAACAACCACGTTGCAAATTAACGTTGTGATAACGTTGTGCTTTGGACATTACAACACTTTTTGTAAATGATGTTGAGGAAACCACTTATAGATCTACCATCTCTTAGTTTTATTTTTTTTAAATATATATATCTATTAACGAAGTTATCTGTCTACTAAATGTTGTCACAAGCAATATTACAGTTAAAAACAATTAGCGCGCATTTTTTGCGGCGTGAGAGGGACTGCTGAAAAGTTTAGCCTGTTGCCTCGTGAAGTGACGTCAGAATGACGTCACATTGTTGCGAAAGATTTGTTGTCACCAGCCATCTTAGTTCAAGCTCACTCCGGACATATTACAACCAAGTGATTGTGCAGCAACTGGAACTGGACAGATGATCTGTTAATTCGGATGAGGTAAGTTAATTTTTCAAAAGCAGTCTCCGATTGTTGATATGTTTCTGTACATGCAGATAGCCAAATTTAAATGTATCGTATTAGTCAGAAGTGGCGGGGTTTAGAATGCAGTTTGCCGGTCACTTTCACTGAGCGTCAGTTTTTGATACACAGAACATGAAGTATATATAGAGGTGAAGGAGGCACAAGATTTTTTTCCATATTATTATTTTAGGGATTCCAAGGGTAATTACCAAGGGCAAGCTGTATATGTTTGACCAGAATTCAGTCTGGCGAAGTTTTTTGGTCGTCATATTATGTTCGGGTTTCGAACGTAAGCGTCTGTAAATAGGCCTAACTTATGCATCGCCTATTGACCACTGACAGTTATCGCCATTTCTTCCTTGTTATTTCTGAAATCATTACTGTTTAAAGTTTGCATGTACTAATCTTCTGAATTTGATTTTTGTGAAACAATGTGGCTCATTCGGGCCATGGGGAAAGGTTGAGTAGATTTTTCTTATACAGCGAAGAGAGGGAATCAAAACAATGGAAGTATTTTCAGATCGACTCTCTGTAGGCTGCTAGTTATAGCCCTAGTCTAAAGCGCTCAATGTTATGAAAAATTGTATTTTCGGGAAGAGACAGAAACATACTTGTTGTTTCCGAAAAGGCCTAATTAGCACTGACTGAAGTAATCTCAATGTGGATCATCTGGTTGTTGGTGCTGTCTGTAAAGTTTATTTTAGCAAGGCGCTTATCATGTGTATTTTCAATATTTCCAAAAAAGAATCAATTCATCATTTTCCGATAACTAGATCCATGTCCGACGCCCTTCTAATGAAAACGAGCAAAAGAGAAACTTGTCTCTCGTCGCGCGCTATAACGGGGTGTTTGAGGTATTGTCCTCGCTGGTGATGATAAGCTAGTCGATGGTCAAAAGTTAAATATCACCATATATTGTCAGTGAGTTGGTCATCGTTTGTTGATTTTTAAGGTGAGATAGGTGTAGCCAATGTGCACCAATGAAAAATACAATGGAATTGATAGCAACCATATTCGTTCGGTTTTCGAACTCCATATGTTGCCACGTAGGCTACCAAACTACAGAATTATATTTAACGATATTGATCTGTATTATGTTCACTAAATGTAGTAACAAAAAAATTTCATATGATACTTGGTTCTCTGAAACATTTTGACAATGAGAGAGAATAAGGTGGTGATCGAAAACTGAACGAGTAAGTTCCAGTGCTCGCTACGAAATCGTACAGTAGCTACATAAACAGCGCTGATATGAGTCGTAATTAGCTACAATACCTCTCGAATATATCTGTTCCCGTTTGGATTCCGGTTTAGAAAAGGTCCCCAACAAGCCATATGTTTGTACTAACATGATTGTGTGTCATTGTACTCCGACAGAGGTTGTGAGACGTGGCTCACTATAACAATCACTGGTTTGCCTGACCGGTTTGTCAGACCGGTGTAGATCTATATGGAAACCAAATAACATTAGATGGTTTTTTTATGATGGTACTCATAATTTTGTTACTTATATCTGTAGCCTGAGATATTTCCGATCGGACGTTACACATGGGGACTTTGGATTTACAGTTTTTCCTAAATTTTAGGCAATTAAACAATGTATGTTATCTTTTAGGATAGACTATAGATCTAAATGTATGCTTATTGAATATAGTTTTAGTTTTGACTTTTTTCATATGTTTTCGTTGCAGCAAGGGGGAAAATGTTACACGACCATTCCAGGAGGTAAAATCAAGAATGTTGAATCATTGAGGAACACACCAAATAAACCCTGGGCTGTGAATTATGTTAACGTAAGTACAATTGTTCACAGTTACATTCCATTGTCTATCCATGTTAATTGGTTTATTTTCTTTTGCTTTAAATGAATACCAAGAATGTAGATCTATTTATATAAATCTATGCTCGTACCACGTTTTGTATTCAACCTGATGCTTGATGTCTCTGAATGAATGTTAAAATTTGTTTCCATCAGACACTTGCATTATACATTATTGTTTGAATATTGATAAAGCCTTATCTCCAAATGTATGTTTCTCGTCATATAGTATCTTTCAAATACCTGCTCGAGATTTATTAAGCTGTTTGTATTTCAGGGAAGTGGAAGTGAACACCAAAGAAAGAAGATTCTGGCATTAAATAATTTCGAAAAGTGTATAAATTTTTAATTATCTAAACATATTAAAATATCAACACAAATGTGTCTTGGAGTTCTTTGTTGAATGATGCCGTCGCATGACTGAAAGTTGAAGTATACTATATGGACTTGATTAGAGACCGACCATTTAATATTTAAGGAGGTGGGGACCTGGAACATTTCTATTGAGATTACATGTTTTCGGTCACAGCTACAAAAGCAGATATGTGATTTCATTTAACTCAATGAGCCTGAAGATAAACACCTTGCAACTAGATTTTTGTGGCAGGCATTTTTGTTCACCAGTCTGAACCGTAATTATTTTTGTCAAGAATTTTCGGTGACAATATATTTTTTCAATAAAATTCCAGGACCCGACCCGCCCCAGAAAATATCATATGGTCAACCCCTTACAATGTCTGCCATTCTTATTTTGTTTCCTGCAGTACTTGCCTAAAGGGTGATGGTGTCTGCCTTTGTTATAGTCTTATGTATCTAGTAAACAGCTCAGTGGTGTTTTTACTTTTTGAACATTGTCAGCAAGGCAAGATCTAACTGTTAACTGGGCCATTCGACGCCCTGTTTTTAAAACATTGGTAAAAGGTATCTCGAATCATACACATTCACGTGACTAAAGCATATTCTAAAACATTTCCGGAACATGTTTTTGGGTTGTTTTTACAACATTTTAGTGGGGAATGTTCACGACGTATTTCATCCTTGTAACACAGTTGTTTCACGTGGTTGTGACAACGCCCATGGTAGTACACAGAATAACGTTGTAGGGACGTATTATTATAACATTGCCACAACGTAAAATACAACATTTACCACAACGTCAAATACAACGTTCCCTCAACGTAAAAATACAACGTTCCCACAACGTAAAATACAACGTCATCACAACGTTGTCACGACGTGAATATGACGTAACACAACGTTAGGCCATGACGTTGTGACAACATAAATGGGAGCCCACAGAATAACGTTATATGGACGTAACATTCGCAACGTTACCACAACGTAAACACAACGTTATCACAACGTTGTCACAACGTGAAATTGTTAGCTGGGTCGTGCAGTATGCAGTGCCGCAAAATATAGTCATTCAGTGGGCGTGGAGATAAACATGTTCATCAAGACCATATTTGGTCGCTGCCAAAACTACACTGATTATCAAAAATAAGTTCATTTCTTTTATATAATTAGAAGTGTTAAGATATGTAGTCAATGTAACTTTGTAGCAAGGAAACGAGAACTGAAGTTCGAAATTGTCAGCTAAATTTACATTCGAATCATTACGCTCTCACGCCAAATAATATTCGTCATAAAGGTTTGTCCGTGAGTATGTTATTTTACATTATCCCTGTGTCTGCTTGTTTCCTAGAAACACTAGCCTATAAAAAGACAGGCGTTCTGTTCGAATGCCAGTCCGTGCCACACTGCCAACGTGAAATCAGCAAACAGTCTTTGAAACAGGTATTGTAATTGAGGAGACAGTTGGAGGTCTGCAAAAGAGAAGGCATACCTGTACGAGAGATTTGGACTGCAATTTGTGCTGTTCACGGTGTTAAACTGCTTCTAATAACATCGACTGATTAATGCTGATTACATTTGTAGGCATACCTGTATGAGAGATTTGGACTGCAATTTGTGCTGTTCACGGTGTTAAACTTCTTCTAATAACATCGACTGATTAATGCTGATTACATTTGTAGGCATACCTGTATGAGAGATTTGGACTGCAATTTGTGCTGTTCACGGTGTTAAACTGCTTCTATTAACATCGACTTATTAATGCTGATTACACTTTGTAGGCATACCTGTATGAGAGATTTGGACTGCAATTTGTGCTGTGCAGTGTTAAACTGCTTCTAATAACATCGACTGATTAATGCTGATTACATATTTGCAATTAGTTTTACCATTTTACTGTATCAATCGGTTTAACTAAGTCATTGTGGCTGTAGATGGGTGGAAATCGCTTAGTCAAAGCATGTATATGTAGTGTGGTAATGTGGAAAACAGAAAATATCATACCGGAATATTCTGACTCTCTCCATATGGTGGCTTATTAACTATCGATACGTACTTAACCTATTGTATTTATAGCTTGAAGTATCAATGCTATTTACTTTTAGCTCAAGAGCGGAAATCAAGAATGACAGACAGACCAAACGGTTAGTGTTATTATGTAAATATGTATTGTAAGCAAAATATTTAATAATATTGACTCAACAAGAAACTACGATAGCCTTATACCTGCTTCTAAATATGTGTTTAAAACTGTCTGTTGTTGTGTACTTGTCGATGTCAGTGTCATACACGAGGATGGGATCAGCCAACATTTGTCAAACCTTTCGTTTCAGTGAGTGTCAAAAGCGCTGGTACATCGCAATACGACATTTCATACCAAATGTATTCACCAGATGGAAAGGCTCAAAACGCAAAGGCAACAGGGACCAGGTAACTTTTAATTGCTGAAAAAATCTCTTCAATGAAGGCAAAAGCCTTAATAACGTTTAAGATGGGGGTGCGGGATGGTGATGTCATAGATTTAAGGAATTTGAGGTTTTTTTATCTAACATCGACCTTTTCTACTGACCCCAATATTCATATATTGTGTTACCGTATAGCAACCTAAACCTCATTACGCGGAAATTGAAATGGGTGATGAAATTAGATCTGTTGGTTGTATCTTATTTTCCAGTGTATTTAAGTTCAATGTCCCGATAAATATCATGATAGGGCTTTGTTTATGATATGTAATCTTAAAAAAATCATTTGTTTCAGTGTGTTAGAGTTCAGTGCAAATGTTGGGTCCCAACACTATCATCATGTATCGCAACCCATTCCAGGAGGGATAAGCATTATGAATCAGGTATAATGCCCGAGTGAAGCAGTCAATATACATATTGACTGAAATATTCAGTTGTAAATACATATTGCCATATCATAGACATTGACTGTAACATATGCATCATATTTTGAACTAGTAACAAGAAATATAATGGTATAATTTACTATGTTTTGATCAGTCCTACATATTGCTATTATGTATTACTGTGATCATTCATGTTTAACATCGGTTGTATGTTTCAGGTAACCAAAGGAGATACCCACGTTGTAAGGGTGAAGTGTTCGTCCGATCCCACCTACTATTTTTAAAGAGGTCATGGATTATTTCTTAATCGTTCGTGGATTATAAACAATAATATGCACAATGTGACCAATGGATTTGACCTTTCATAAATCGCAATAGGACTACCTTGCACTGACCGCTTGAGGTTCGTATCGATCTGTTCTTTTAAGCAAAATGTATGAAGTAAATACATTTATTGAGACAAATGATGATACAATATCATCACGTTCACACCAGATTATGTCATTATTTCATGTGGCTCAGTTGCTTGTAAATGCCTGTCTTGTGTGTTTCTGTGATAAAGTCATAATCGATCTGTGATGTTTGGGTATTTTAATGTATTTTATCCTGCTACTTCATATACTATAAGCTTTAGTCGTGTTTTATCCACTACAAAGCATTGAACATATTTGATAAATATCTTAGCAACGAACAAAATTGTTAAGTGAGGGTAGCGATAGCACCACGATACAGTCAAACGCAAATAAACAAATTATTTACTTTGGTTTGGCTGTTTTTCCTGTTTGCTTTTCTCATAAAAATTTCAGTATACGTTCTGTGAAGTTTATGTTTACATACTTGATATTTTCATTATTGAATAATGTAACTAGCCATGCTCTTGATTTGTCCAATTTTGTGCTGAAGCTTATACTGTTTTGATTAGTTAACGGAATGGTCCCTCGCAAAACATATAATGCTTTTCTTTTATGAATAACCTATTTCAACATTATAGGAAAAAGTTTAGTCATGTGTGTTCAAGTAATCGACCAAGCCAATTTCAGGACAGGAGTACAATTTCAGAACTGTACTTTACAGTTTTGTTGCAAAAATATTTACAGTTTCTTATGGTCACCTGGAGTACTCGCAATTAACACCCTGGTTGTGAATTGTACCCTTGATGCATGGTCAACTTCTGTTTGTGATTTAAATATAAAATACTAATGAAATACAATTTACACTGCAATGTTGAAGTTTGTTATTCCTTGGTATATATGTGGTACGTCAATCATTATATGTACATTATAAGTAGAAATAAAATGTCAACTGCAAAATCGAATTGTGTTATGCATAACTATGTCTCCGTAGCTTATGTGGTACAAAATATGTTAAAGTTGATAACTATGGACAAGTATTGACTGTTCTGAGTCAGTCCTAGTTATACAAATATTGTATTGTTGCCATTGGTAACTTGCCCTAATAGAAGCATGTGAGCATAACGCCACAGGAGCACAAGACAGATGTATGTCCATCTATCCTTATCGTTCATATCAAAGCACACATTTATATGCATAAGCCCACTCACTATATGTTAATAGAGTACCACATGAGCACGACAGTGCAGTGGTGAAATAGGTGCGTTGCATATGTATTTGTGTACTCTGTCAAGGGTCACCATGACGTGTGTCTATACATTCCACATGCAAATCAATGGTAACCACAACAAAGTACAAACACAACCCATAAAAAAACAGTTCTGTTAGCAACCTAAATACTTCTCTCGCAGACTTAGACGTTACCGTGATTATATTTTTGCATGTATTATTGTTGGTCAAAATATACTATAAAATAGTTGAGACCTGATGTTTTTGCGTGAATATTATTTTGGACCTCAAATTAACAATGACCTCAAAGATTTGAAGATTTTAAATTATATGCATTCTGTGAACAATAATATGCACCCTGTAAATGTTGCACTTAGAAAAGCATGACTTCTTTACCAGTATCATTAAAAAACACAATACGATCAACGTATTCGCTGAATGAATAAAACAAAGCATGCATGAGAAGTAAACTTAAATTAGACAATATCATATATAAAGGATATGGATAGACTTGGGACTCTCAAATGGGAACTCGAGACATCCAGTGCGACAGATCCGAGTATAAATGATGAAAAATATAAAAATGAATTCTCGGGGTCCGGAAGGTGATTTCTAGACAATCCTGATTTCGACACATCCACTTTCGACACAACGAATTAGTTAGTTATTATATACCACCAAAATCCAGTATGGCTACTGTAATGTAATATGATTGGTGCACATATAGTACATATTGGGTGGTTTATGTACAAAACTGAAGGATATAAAAGTACAACAAAGAACATAAAATTGTAAAGTTGATTATAATTACGTGTATTGAAAATATCTAGCAGATGCAAACACTATTTATATTTCTAACTACTTTTACAAACAGTAAATCTTCAAAGTATTTGTCAGCTAACACAAAAGTGGATTATGCACTTATGTTATCCTTATGCTATGACATCCTACATATAAGCAAAAGAGATAGACATATATACATATGTATTTGGGGCTTTATTATCCCATGGATATTACTATCATAAAACGATACAAGTGTACGAAAATATTAGCTACAAAGCCTTTTCTATACCATAGCATATGTGCTCAATGCAGAGTCCATTGCGCAATTCTGGTTATATCATAAGCATGGGGTAGTGGTACCAGGTGGTCGCTCACCATCACAGACAAGGGAACATATGTACAAGCTTTATATTTGCCTTGAAAGTGCCTTTAATCTGCCATTACAAGGCATATAATACGAAGGTGTATCTTAACTTCTTCACATAGCACAGTATTAATACCATAGCCTTATAATACAACAAGTCATGGCCTCCACGACGATATTTAGTTAGCGATCAAAATAGACCCTCAACTCATTTAATGAATAGCTCTATACAGCACCGAAGATTGTTCATGCATAAATTGTAGACCAAACACTCATGATCATATAACACACCTGCAAGGTTCATTTTCCTTTTGACGCGGACCTATATTTGGAATAGAAATTCTCAAACCAATGCAATGCACATACATCATACAATACTTTTCCAAGAATATCAAACACTGTAACTCGGCAAACACACGTGATATACCCATAAAAAACACTTTCTTGGAAAGTCTTCATGTGTACGCTATTTCTTTCACTGCTACACTGCGTTTTGAGAGGAAACTTACGTGTTGCAAAGGACATGATAATGCACACATGTCAAATGTTAATCTTTTAAAGTCTATGAATGAAATTCCATGCATCCAGGCGAGGAAATAATGCATTATGAATGTATGTAGGCCGTCCTGACTACAGGTGTCTTGATTAAAAGGGTATACATTTTGTATACGTATATATATATGTTGAGGGGTATTTTTCGAATGCCAAGGTTCGTTAATCCGGACAAAAAATTCGGGATACAGTCGAGGATGAAGGTGCCAAACAAATTCTTCTCAATGACACTGTTCACAGATACTAGGCTAATTTTTTGGTGAAATGTACAGCACCCTCTAATATGTGCCGGAAAATCCAAGAGCAAAGAAGATATCCATACGTTATTGTACGTTCAAACGTCCAATTGAAAAGGGACCAGTTACTATCTAGAAATTCATGGTCGTAGATTCACCAAAAAACACACAAAAAAAGGTTTTGTCAAGTATTGCAATACTGTCAACTGTGAACGAATTGAGGACAAAACAGGCTGGTGTGACAAGTTTCTAATGGAACATGTTATATTAAGAACAAATGTATGAAGAGAATTTATGACTGTAAAGGATAGAAATATTTCTGGCGGTCAGTTTGAAAATGGCCGACGGAAATAGACAATGAAGTGACTCCACCTCTGAAGACATTGCCACATTATGATCTAGTGTTGTGCAATTAACCAGGATGTTATGACAAAGGGCACAAGTTTTGAGTTATATTGCACATATCCACTGTACTATTGATTGGTGATACACATGTATAGATTTCAGTTTCGTCATTCTCTAACAATAGCTACCGTTGTGTCTTGACGACCAGGAAGCCCTGGGAGTAAACACTACAACATTGAAGTCCACAATGTCCTATCCGGCGTGTGACAAATATAGATGCATCGGCGAACATGGCTAGAAAATTGTGTGAATATTTAAATCATACCACAAGTGCATATCAAACAAATCTGATGTGGATATATTTTTATCTCGTGGTTCTCGACTTTAATTCTAATACATTTACGACATCACGATAGCATGACCACATGCACGTCATGTCCTTATGACATAACACTACAAAGGAAATAGGATTTGGATTACGTGGGGTCATATAAAGCACGAAGTAGATTTCCTGGAAAGAAAATATGTAGTCATGTGATCTGAAATATGTTTGAGCCTTCTGTTGTACAATATATGTGCACAAACGTTCTTCAGAGTCATTGAGCCGTGATACAGAGACTTCTTTCAAAGTATTGACTCTCCCACCTAATAGCAGTTCCCACGTCATATTTAGATACTTGTATAAAGAGTTTGAACATGAACATGTGGTTGTCATGCCAAGCATCGACCGAATAGTATATTAGTTATGAAAAGGTTGAATTAGGACTGTGGTGACAATATCAGTAGCCTCACATTCATGCATTTGTTTTACCTATAACTGAACATAGTGAGTGAATGTTCTTTTACAACGAAGTCTACAGCCTTTCAGCAGTATCACGGAGCCAATACATAATAAAGACTTCACCGGTCATCAGGTGGTCGACTGCAACAGGAACAGGTTCAGAACGGCCAGAATCTGACTCGTGTAAAGTGCAAGGGGTACTCTGGATATAATGTGCCATTACATTCCTACATTATGTATTGTATGTTTATATTGATGATAGAATTAGTGAGTGAGTTGGGTTTAACGCCGCTTTTAACAGTGTTCCATTTATATCACGTCGTGTCAGCTTAATGTGGGAGGACAGCTCGAAGTGATGCAGGTAACAGACGTTAACTACTTCTGTGAAACCCACGTGCACGGGTATGGTGCTGACAAACCTAGAAACATAATTGGGACGAACCGGGATTCGATCCGACAATCATAGGTTTCTGGCGTGCCCAAGGGATGCAACTCTGAACAGCGAATCGAGTCGCCTTAGACGACTGGGCCAACTGTGCCCCCGGATATATTATGAAGTTATCTATAAAAAATCATGTCATTACTGCTACTTTAGACGACTGTGCCCCATGTGCCCCCTGATTGAATTTGCCAGAATGGCATGATGATATACTACATCATACACAATGTATATACCTTTCACATATTTACCACCCTTCAAGACAAAGGCACTGTCGAACATTGTCGTTTGTCTCTGGTATGCATCACTGTGACAGAAACCTTCTGATCACATTGTGAACACGTTTACTTTTACATCCTCTGACCCAGCTGTTACGGCTTGGTGCATACCAGCATCTGTCCCTTACCGTATATCTGGTAGTACAAAATTATTGTTTTAGCACACAATGTTGTCTATCATCGGCAGTTTCCGTCAATATCACCTTTCAAGGTGCAAAACCCCGTGTGTCAAGTTCCTGGGGTTTGTTATGCAAATGCGCTGCACGTCAATATTTTAAGAGACATTGTAGATGTTTATACGAAGTTTCAGTTTACTCTGTTCAGTTACTAATGGAACAAGAAGTTGTTAATCTTCAAAACTGAGAAAGCTTCTAACACTAAATGTTCTACATTCGTTTTATCACAGATATTATGTGTAACCACCGTGAAATCCGATCTGAAGTGTGAAACTTCAAAATATGGATTGATAAAAAAACCTAAGATAAAATGCAAGTTGGCTTTATTTCAGAAGGGCTTGTCATCTAGGGAGGTCAGGACGACTCATATCAGTATACGTGTAGCTTGCATGTGACAAAAGGTGATTTATGCATTCATTGATTATACACAAAGCGATCACTTGTGCCAAACGCAATGGCACCAAATATAGACGGCATTCAGTGGGCGTGGAGGTGAATACATTTGCAAAGACCATATTTGATTTATGTCAGAATACACTGATGACCAAATGTTGGTTCCCTTTAGGAATTCAAGCTTAAGAAGGTTTGTGAAAATGGATTATCCTTTGCGAATGAAAGAGAATTAAAGTTCAAAATTGTCGACTGTAATTACATTTAAATCATTTCACTTGAACGTTAGATAATATTCCCGAGGAAGGTTTGACTGTGGGTATGTTATTTTCCATTAGCCCTGTAGCTGATCATTCCCTGCAAACACAAGCCTATAAAGAGACAGTCACCCTGTTTGGACGTCAGACAACCAGCGGTAGATCACCAATTACACTTCGAAAACAGGTACAGTATATGTGCAAATGTGTGCGCGTGTCTGTAGGAGACATTGAGGTAATACCTTGTGTTTTTCACAGCATTACATTTCTTCTAACAACAACTGATAAATGCTTATTAAATTGTACATTATATTTTACCACTATACTGTTTTAACTGATTTAACCAAGCTATGAACCACGACATGATGGCTCTATATGCGTGGAACATCGTATTGTTTTGTATAAAGAATCTACAAGTATATTATTTGTGATTTTGTTGGAAATATATGATGTCATGCAGGACGATATTGATGAATACCTTTTACACAACATGGAAATTTATTTTTATAGCATGGCTTAAAATATCCATGCAGACTGTTTCACGTATATTAATGTGTACAGATTGTACTGTATGGAAGCTTTACCTTTTAGCACAAGTGTTGGAAGCAAGAATGACAGACAGACCAACAGGTGCTTTGGATTTATTTATTTTTGCATGTTATTACTTTTTAAAATTAACAGTCATATTGATTAATTTGAAATATTCCATGAGGCTATCAGGTTTTGTAAATACGTGTTTGTAACTATTTGCTGTCCTGTAACTGACGCTATTTGTGAGAGAGTGATTTGGTTTTAACCCCGTTTTGAACAGTATTCGCGTTATATCACAGATGTCAGCTTACTGTGGGAGGAAGCCTGAATATATTCAGGTCTCAGACGCTTACCACTTTGGTTAAACCCACGAGCACGGACAGGGTGCTGACCCAGAAACATAATCCTGTCGAACCAGGATTAATCCACGATCATAGGTTTCTCGTGTACCCAAGTAACATGAATGTTCTGCACAGCGAATTGTGGTCTCTTATTCGATGTGACTCTCGTGACACCTGTCATAAATGAGGAAAGGATTATCGAAACTGAATCCAATCCTTGGTTATTTCAGTTGCAGTCACAAGCCTTGGTGGATCGAAATACAAAGTTTCATACACAACGTATCCACCAAATGTACGCCCTAACAACGCAGTAGTGAAGGTGATTGGGGGCGGGTGAGGATAACATTTTTAATTCTTTAAGTGTGAGGGAGACATGATAACAGATCTGCAAGTGTTCCATCCGACAACATCAAATCTGCTTCTGAAAAAACCCAGCCTTTTAGGATGGAAGAATTATCTCAATTAAATTAATAGTTTTAATCTGGTGTTAGCTAAACGTCATTATGCAGACGTGGAAATGAAATTGATTGAATATTGATCTGTTTATTATTTATTATTTTCCAGTTAAATTGACTTCAGGGCCCCTTTTTTTTGCCTAAAACATATCATGAAATGACGTTTGTCAAATGTAATGTTAATTCATTACTATGTTTCAGTGTGGTAGAGTTCAAAGCAATGGTTGGGAATCAACCATCTCACGATGCGTCGAAGCCCATTCCAGGAACGACAACCATATTAGGCCAGGTATATGAATCTTTTTGAAATTAGTAAATAGACAAATTATAGAATGATTTACTTTGTTTCGACCATTTCTGTGTACATATATCATGTATTATCATCATGCATGTTTAACATTGGTTACATGTTTTAAGAAACAAAGGAAAAAATATAGAATGTTTACCATGTTTCGACCATTCCCGCGTATTTCTATCATGTATTACTTTGATCACGCATGTTTATCATCGGTTGTATGTTTCAGGAAACAAAAGGGGATACCCACGTCGTGACGCTGGAATGTTCGTCCGACCCTTCCCAATATATTTTATAAGTTCATTACTTGTTACTGGTTCGTGGATTGTTAGAATAATGTGCACACTTGGACCGACGGATTTTACCTTTCACAAATAGCAATAGGGCTGTTCCACATAATGTCTGAGGTTCGTATCGATCTGTTCTTTTCAGCAAACATGTGTCATCACATTCCAATTTAACACCAGAATGTGTCATTACTTTACTTGGTTCGGCTGCTTGTAGATGCTTGTCGTGTTTGGTAATAATGTCTGTCATGTTTGAGTACTTCTATGTCTTTTATCCAGCCACTTTATTTATTTGAAGCTTTATTCTTTTTCAACCACTACACAACATTGGACGTATTTGATAATTGTTTTAGCAACGAACAAAAATGTTCAGTAACGGTATGTAATAATAACATGATGCAGTCACGCACAAATTAACACATTCAAGGTGTTATTTACTTTGGTGTCTGATTTTGCTCGTTCACGAAATGTTCTTTCTCTCATAAATCTAATAATAATACAATACATGTCTATTATCTCAAATGAAATTTGTTTACATACTTGACATTTTTCGTCATGTCTGATATGCTCTATTCATCATTTTAAATGATTCAATTGATTAATGTGTTCAATTTTGTGCTGAAGCTTGTAGTGTTTAAATCAGTTAACGAAATAATGAGTCGCAGTAAAACTCATGTCGTTCAATATATGAATAACCTATTTCAACATTGAAGAATAAAGTTTAATCGCGTGTGTTCCAATAATCGATCTAGCACAATGGCTTTGTCAGAAATTATACACTTTAACCGTTCCGATACCAAAATTCAATACTTGCAATACTGAGGCGTACAATTTACAGTATTTGTGATCTAAATATTATAATACTTATGAAATACAATTTAAACTGAAATGTTGAAGTTTGTTATTCCTTGGTATATATGTGGTACGTCAATCATTTTATGTATTAGAAGAAATAAAATTTCAACTGCAATATCGAATTTTGTTTTGCATATGTCTCCGAAGCTTATATGGTACAAAATGACAAAGAAATGACAATTATTGACTGTTCTGAGTAAATGTTAGGAGTAATAGAATCGTATAAGCATTACTTAGGGCCACGTTTTGACGCCAAAGGAGCACAAGACAGATGTGTGTCCATGTACACTACATTTGTAAACATAAGCCAACTCACTATATATTAAAAGAGTATCCCATAAGCACTACTGTGCAGAGGTAAAATAGGTGTGTTATATTTGTATTTGTGTACTCTGACAAGGGTCTATACATTCAACACGCAAACCAATGGTAACCGCAAAAAATAACAAACACAACCCATAAAAAAACATTTCTGTCAGCAACCTAAATACTTTTCCTGCAGACTGTGACGTTACCTTATGTGATCATATTTGTGCATGTATAACAGTTGGGCAACATATGTTATTAGAATTTAACACCCGATATTTTTTGCTAAAATGGTATTTTTGGATTTCAAATAAACAATGGCATTAAACATAGAGTTTAAATTAAATCCATTCCGTGAAAAATGGTGTGCATCCCGTGAATGTTGTATTTAGAAATGCATGATTTCTTTACCAGCTGAAGTGTTATTAAATATAGCTTACGCAATACGTATTCGTATGAATGATATAAAACAAAGCATGCCAGTGAGTAGAGAACGATAATAAGACAATATGAGATATAAAGGATATATATAACTTGGGAATCTCAAATGAGCTCGAGACAACCGTGCATTCGACACAAGGAGGTTCGATGGCATATTATCCATTTCGTAGCAAATTGATTAGATACTGCATGCCATCAAGATTCAGCAAATACAGTACTTAATGGGCTGTTTATGTACAAAACTGTAGGATATAAGGATACAATATGCATAAATATATTATCTGAATCTCTACTCTTCAAATCTATGAAAATATAAAGTTATATATAATTCCGTTTATAGAAGATATCCAGCAGATGTAAACACTTTTCATATTTATAAACACTTTCACAAACAGTAAATCATCAAAATATGTGTCAGCTAACACACAGCATCGAAGTTGATTATGCACTTATGTTATCATTATGCGAAGACATCCTCCACTTAAACAACAGAAAGGCATGTATAAATATTTAGTTGATGTCAATTAACCCATGGATTTTAGTTGAGTAAATGATAAGAGTCTAGGAAAATATAAGTTACAAAAGCCTTACTATAGTCATAACAAATCTCTGCACAGCGCAAAGTCCATTGTTATTCCGGTTATATGATATTGTGTTTGATGTTTTAAACCAGGTGTTCGCTTACGTTCACGAACAAGGGAACATGTGTACAGGCTTTATAAATGCCTTGAAAGTTGCTTTATCTAGCCATTATAAGGCATATAAAACGTAGGTGTTTCTTAAACTCTTCTCATAGCACAGTCGTAACACCATATCACCCTAATACAAAACAGCGATCGAAATAGCGTCTGTATTCATGTATTGAACAGCTCTATACAACACTCATAATTATTCAATCAATGCAAAAAAGGTTGAGCAAACACTCATGGTCATATCATAATACACCTGCATGATACTTTCTGTTCATTTTCCTTTTGACATGGACCTAAATTTAGAACAGAAATTCTCAGAAACAATGCCATGTACACACATCATACAATGCCTTTCCAAGAAAACTAAACACTGTGAGTCGACAAACACACGTGATATACCCATACAAGACACCTTCTTGGAAACCCGTCATTGATCTATATTTTGTCAATGTTACATATGAGCCCAGACTTGTCAGGTGGTACAATGAGTTGTACATAATGGAGTCTGGACCAGACAATTCATTGGCAGATATTATGATCAAGATAAAGATTCGTGGTATTATGTTCGCTCTAATGTGGTAAGAATGCCTGACACTGATTTACACCGGGGCTACAACATGCAATGCCTTAGTTGACGTTCAATCGGTTTTACAGAAGGCATGTTGGGGATATTTCAAACTGAATTTGTAAATGGTCAAGTGGTCAAAAGATGCAATAGAATGGACATCCCCACCCCACCCTACCCCACTCACCCCAACCTCAACATGAATATATGGTACAGGGACGATTACACCAAACAAAGACGGATCAATAATAAGTATAGTACTTACTGTGCCTGCACACGGTATCCATACATGTTGTGTAAGGGTATCACAGAGTTATCTCCCTTGTACTAAACATTCACAAATATCACAGTGACTGTCGTCCAGCTCACGCTTTGAAAATAAACAGTGTTTTACATGGAGAACAACGCTGGTTTTGAGCGCTCCTCGATAGTGCCAAGCTGGCGTATGTGTCAATGTGTTATCGTCAACATAAAATGTGAGTTTGATGCTGATTTTATTTTGTGTAACATAGCCCCTTTCCACAAGTACGCCATTCAGCTATACATTGAACATGTAGCCAAATAAACTGCGCATACTGAACTTATATTTTTGTAGTTTTTAAATTCATTTTATTAAATTGAATATACTGAATATACTGAAGTGAATATACTGAGGATGCTAACGATTATTATACATTGCCTGTGTAAAAAATATTCAACTTAGGCGATGCCAGTCGTTCCTATCTGCCGATATGATTGGCGCGTTATATATGTTGTATGAATGCATGGTCGAATCACTTGGCCAAGGAATGTACAGTAAACTACGGTTATAACGAACACGCTTATAACGAACTGATGGATATAACGAACTTACGTTTATGGTCCCGGCTATTTGCTGTAGTTATGCTGTATGTGTGCTTATAACGAACTACGGTTATAACGAACTAAAATTAGTAGTCCCTTTGAGTTCGTTATAACCGTAGTTTACTGTATGCATTATATCCGAAAAGCATGATGCATTATTTATGTCTTGTGTTGAAACCGGTTTGACGAGTTGGTGGATTTGTTAATGTATTTCAAATGAATCATCGTTCGTTTGGTGTTGAACGCCACACTCAGCAGTATTCCAGCTATATGACGGCGGTCTGAATATAATCGAGTCTGGACCACACAATCCAGTGATGGGCATCATGAGCATCGATCCACCCAATTGGGATACGATGACATGCATCAACAAAGTCAGCGAGGCTGACCGCCCGATCCCGTTAGTCGCCTCTTACGACAAGCATAGTCGCCTTTTACGGCAAGCATGGGTTGCTGAAGACTTATTCTACCGTGGAAATGCACGGGTCTAAAATGTATCTAACGATAATTCAGTGACAATATCATTTACAGTCAAATGGGGTGAGTGAACGCCGCTTGGAAACATATTTCAGTCATATTTCATTTTTACAGCTGACTGATTAAGGTGCATCTGCGTATAACAAAATACCATTTAGTACACTGAAGGAATTTGCACCATTCTGTGTATAAGAAACACCTTCCATAAATCTTTCCCTACAGAGCCTTGTATAAATAGGGGATAAACATACTGTTTTTTCAGTGTGGACCTAAAACATTGCGCGATCGGTTCCAAATTCAATTGAGCTCTCTTAAATCTACAGGTAACCGAGCTCTCCATTCGAAACACAGTATGTTTATCTCCATTCTACCATGACCAAATAACACGAATTATTACCCACGTGGTGAAGATACAGGTGGTAAGATACTAAATCCGTACACGTGTGTCATACAAGGTTGACCTTGGTTTATTCGTTTTGATTGGATAACCGTGACCTCTGTCACACCGGGACTACATTTTTCATTCATAAAAACTCACGAGACGTCATTCATTTTGCAACTACAAGGCAGAACTGAAGCAATCTCATGAGAGCGAGGGATATTTACAAACACTTTATTAAACCAAACAAGGTAGTCACACGCATCAAATTCGGTTTGTACTCTATATAAGTTATGCAGAGAGCTTCTACAAACATCATATAATCGAGCTATATTCATTTACAATGTACGACTACCGATCAATAGATCGAGGGTCCCCATGAGCGTGACGCACCCGACCGCTTTCACAACTTTCAATTTGATTGAAGGTATATGGAAAAGCGTGGTGAATGAAGTCTGTTTAAACAATCTGGACAGATACCTAGACTTACTTGGGGTGATCCGGTTGTGCCATCAGTGTCCCCTTCGAAGCGTATTTTGTGGCACTATTTCGGGAGTTGTTTGTTCACGACTGCACGACCAGATCACTCAAAGTGAACACTTCCGATACAAATCATTCGAAAACTCCGTAGAAGTGTGCCTGACTTCTGATTATGTGGCCCAAAATATCCCAAATGTGAACAATAACATTCCCCATCCCTAGTGTGAAACGCTGTAAGTATATCACGGTTGTCTTTTCTTATTCCAGTGGTGACCTTGCCCTTCGTTCGAAGCTGTCACTGACATACAAGCAGACTTGAGTTTGTTGATTTTCACGTCTTCAGTATAGTGTTGTACAGTTTACATGAATGTCTTTGGCGAACGCTCTGATTTCCCTCTTCCAAAATGGTACGGACATGATATTAATTCAGCTGACAGATCAAGGAAACAGCACCATTTTGATTGCACAGACGGGACACCGGCAGTGCGAGTGACCGACTGTCGGTCCGATATTCAAAGCGCGGTGCCAATGTGACTTTTCAATTTTTCTTAAAGGTGTCCTGCGTACTAACAACATGGCGCATGAATTACCATAAGTTGAAGAAATACTTCAAAAAGGATCTTGAGCGTCGGTGGTGTTATGTTTGCAAACACAACTGTAGGCGTATGTTGTCAATGCGTATGCATAGAAATGTCAAAAATGCCCATATTTGGGCATATATCAATATTCATGCGCAACCAGATTTTGCAACCGGTTTCAGTTTGGTCTGTCAACGGAGAGAAGTAGTTATATATTTAACGTGGGTAATAAATAAAATACCACACTCATTCTCGTTAGATAACATTTTCACGATTTTTCGCTAGGTCAGATACCAAAGAAAATCCACTAGTTTCGTAAAAGTGGTATCTAACGAGAATGAGTGTAGTATTCTCTATATATGTGATGTTTGTAAATATATTGAGTGACGCGTTATTGGTTTAGTCCAGTGTTGTGAGTGGGTTGTCGATCTGCATTACTATCTGAATCACCGACAACAGCTTTTAAACAAAATACAGTTAACTACGGTTATAACGAACACGCTTATTACGAACTTACGGATATAACGAACTTACTTTTTTGGTGTCGACTATTTGCTGTAGTTATGCTGTATATATGCTTATAGCGAACTACGGTTATATCGAACTAAATTAGTAGTCCCTTTGAGTTCGTTATAACCGTACTTTTCTGTATGGCGCTCAAGCAGTTTGTAAACACAGTAATACTTCACTCAAACATATGACAATAATTCTAAGCGTGTAACACAATAACTTTGTAAGCTAACATGAGTCGAGAACTCCTAAAAAATCTAAGCAAGTCTCACAAGGGTTTCGTTTTACATCGCGCGTCACTATTATGGCGTCATATCACTCTTTTCGATGCAAAAGATATGACGTCACAGTCGTATATAGAAAACGCCAAAATCCAAGCTCCCCAGGCCCCGTTCCACAAAGCGATCTTAGCTCAAAGGTGATCGTAACGCCCATACTTTAACCTAGGCTTACGATAGTCGTAGCGCTAAGATCGCTTTGTACAACAGGACCCTGTTATCCACAAAGCTTGAATACATTCAATCTGTAGATTTCTATCGTGTTTTCTGCGCAAAATATATTGCCATACATCCTTTGAATATTGTAGTAACCGCAACTTTGCATTTTGTAACCTAAAATTGAACATAATATTATTTAACATGCATTCTTACAATGACTAAAAAATGGCTTCCGTGGTGATGCGGCCGTAAAATCTGTTGTTTCAGTCAGAGGGGGTTTTATAGCGATTTGATAACCAAAAGTATCGAAATAAACAAGGTGTAATTCTCTTTCATATGAACACATCTGATAACTTTCACAGCGATTTCTTCCCGTGAAGATTCCGGGTTAGAATTGGTCTGTAGCAACCCATACTTGTCGGAAGAGGCGACTAACGGGATCGGGTGGTCAGGCTCGCTGACTGGGTTGATGCATGTCATCGAATCCCAAATTGCGTAGATCGATGCTCATGGTGTCAATCACCGGATTATCTGGTCCAGACTCGATTATTTACAGACAGCCGTCAAATAGCTGGAATATTGCTGAGTGTGGCGTTAAACAACAAACAAACAAACACAGCGATTTCTAATGGTTTTGCTCTTTTTTTAAAAACAACAACATTTTTTGCTTATCCTCTAGCCAAAAAAGATGCCTTGTTATTCCTTGTCGCTCCAGCTCTTCAAAAGCTTATGGGAATGAATTCGAGATATTTAAGTTATGGTCCTTTCCTCGACCTCAGACTCTCTAAAACGGTATCAAATTTCTCAAATTATTGGTCTGACTTCCTAAATTGTTTGTTGTTCACACGGAGAGGTGAGGTGAGGTGAGGTGAGGTGAGGTGAGGTGAGGTGAAATTTGGCAGGGTACCCTCGAACTCTAAACACAGCTCTTATACATCCCTGCTATAAGACAAAATAACTTATCTGTAACACTGTAGACGTGTAATATATAGCGATCGGCAAAGTACGTTCAACCATCGAAACATTACATGTCAAGAAAATAATTTTTTTTTTACTAAATGAGGATTTGAACTTCACTTTCCGTGTTTTTCACGCGGTTACCAGTTGGTTCAAGATTCGACAGGAAATTAGAGTAACCTCCCTTCGAGACAGCTCCTCCCGATATCATTTCCGCGAACGGGCTATTGCTGTGAGGAGCGTGGTAGTATTTTTATGAGCAGAAGACAGACAACATTGTGTTGATATCGCTGGTGAGACATTGTTTGTGAGATATATGGTTTTCTTTTGGAATAATACCGAACGATTCATCCGTTGGAGTGAAAAACTGAAAGAAGAGAAAATGCACAGGAACCCGTTATTGGTAATTAAATAGAGAATTTCACCCGAGTGTCTTTTGATATCAAATATATAAACGCAAGTTCATAAAATTGGAATAACTCTCAGGCTTGCCGAGGAGTTTTTCAACTTTTATCAACGTGTGTTGATTTATTTGATATCAATTCAAGGTTGAGACTCTATTTATCATCCAACATCATTCTTCCAACTTTTTAAGTTTGTAGACAGTAATAAGCAGTGTCTTGGTGTAAAAAGTCCTGCTAACAGCTTCAGTAGCAGAGCCATTAGTGATGTCATTTGATTGTGACGTCATGGTAAGCATTGACGTCACCATGGTCTGCAAATCATTGTGATGCAATTTCATTGCAGCGATATATGTAATGTAGATATTGTATGATCTTACCCAAGCGATATCTCCTGTGGGAGCCAATTTTGGATGATAAATATAAATATATACCGCCTAAATGTAAGTAAAGAAAATGCACAGGAACTCGTTATTTGTAAGTAAATATAAATATATACTGCCTATATGTATGTACAGAAAATGCACAGGAATTGTTATTGGTAAGTAAATAAATAGAGAATCTCCTGAGTGTCTTTTGATACTAAATATATCAACACGAGTTGAAGAAACTAAAAGTGGAAAAACACTGAGGCTTTTATCAACTAGTTTTAATATATTTGATATCAATAGACGTGAGATTTTATTTATCATCCAACATCATTCTTCCAACTTTTTCAGTGTATAGACAGTAATAAGCAGTGTAAAAAGTACTGCTAACAGCTTCAGTAGCAGTGACGTCATTTGATTGTGACATCGGCTTTATCCGACACTAATGATGGGAACCAATTAAATCAGTGGTATTTAATCCGACAGTGTCGTACTAAGACTCTGACACACCTAATTTGCAATGATTTACCGAAATCTCTCATTAATCAGTTTTGTTAATCCGACAGTGAACAGCATACTCGGTGGTCATCTGCCCGCGAGTACACAGCCCAGTGTTTTGATGCGAGACGAATCGGCTAGTGGCTGCAGAGATAAACTTACTTGGGTAATATATGAATACATATCTGCTGGCGATTAGGTGCCTCACTCTGGCAGTGTGGGTTCGAATCCCGGACAGGACTCAACCCAAAATGTCCAAATTCGTCAATATTCTTAAGTAGTGGGTACTTTTGTTGATAGTTGCTTGAGACTTGAGGCCAAATATTGGCCCCTGACCAGGTCTTAATACATCTGTGAACCATGTATGAAAATGTTTTTGTTTTGTTTTGATTTTATAATAACAAATGTTGTGAAAATGGTAGTAGATAGAGACTCAAGAATAAAGTACTAAAAAGCTCTCAGATTCCAAGATCTCCCATAACACTATCTGGAATTGTGTTACTTTGATCATGTTGATTCATGCTTGTCTTTCACCTTCATTTCAACTACTCAGGCCTGCTGTGTGTGATGGAATCTCCCTGTCCTTGACCATTGCCAGTGATGGAGCAGGCAATAGCATCAACGGCTGTGGCAGCAGGGGCAGCAGCGCCGGCGGCAGTACAGAAGAAGTGTGACCCAGTCAATGGTATGGGTCACAGCATGTAGCAGAGAGCTGGGGGTTGATAAGACATTTGTCTTCATGCACAATTTGAGACAAACATGTAGATACCGTAATTATTTGTGTTAATTATTTGTTACAGCCCCAGTCCTTGTTACTATGTTGAATTAAGTATTCTGATGCATTTACAATGTTCAAAGTTTAGCTTGAAAGTCAAAGGGTCATGTGGAATGTTTGAGATTGAGGGAGTCCCTGAATTCAACTACTGTATGCACAAACCTCAAGGACCCCAGGAAATCCTTTAGGTTCGAACACTACATTTTACATGTTTTGATTATTTAGGTCTCTGAACAAAGGCATGCAATTAGCCTCAGGCTATATTAGCTCTTTGGTTGGTTTGTTGGTTTGTTGTTTAACGCCGCACTCAGCAATATTCCAGCTAAATGACAGCGGTCTGTAAATAATTGAGTCTGGACCAGACAATCCAGTGAATGATATCATGAGCATCGATCCACGCAATTGGGATCGGTGACCTGCATCAACCAAGTCAGTGAGCCTGACCACCTGATCCCGTTAGTCGCCTTTTACGACAAGCATAGTCGACTTTTACGGCAAGCATAGGTTGCTGAAGACCTGTTCTATCCCGGAATCTTCACTCCACAAAATCCTCCAATGTCATCCTGTGGGAATTTTTGGTTAGATTTACAATTGGAAACTATGTTTGTTGTAAGGGATGACTTCATGGGTTTGTAGACTCAGTGACTTTGTTCCTTGTGCTTTCTTGTACCGTAATCGTCATTACTCATTATACCAACCACTGGTTTTTGACTCTATTACTTACAGGCTGCCGTCATACAACAGGATGATTGTATATCTGTGGCATCATGCAACAAACAGTCAAATATTTCCAGTGTCACATTCTCTTAATACTGTTGCTGGAATATAGCTTACAACTGGGGCATCGACAGCAAATGTCTAGGAATGCTTCCCACTTCATTATTGTTGTTGGGGGCACGGGTGGCCCAGTCGTCTAAGGCGCCGCTATTAGCTGTGCAGAATTGCGTCCCTTGGACAAGCCAGAAACCTATGATTGTGGGTTCGAATCCCAGTTCGCCCCGATTATGTTTCTAGGTTGGTCAGCACCATACCCGTGCTCGTGGGTTTCACCGAAGTGGTAAACGTCTGAGACCTGCATCACTTCGGGCTTTGCTCCCACATTAAGCTGACATGCCGCGATATAACTGGAATACTGTTATGAATTGATCCTTTGATTTGTGATTTGTTATTGTAGTCATTTTGATATTTTAAATTGAAATATAAAGTTTAAGTTTTTCAACTTTCATACTGGGACCTTACCATGGTCTTACTGGGACCATGGTAAGGGATTAGATATTGACATTATGAAACCTTTTCACTGGCACCATGTTGCTATACGACCTTGACCCCAGGTATGACCTTGAACCATACTTCACCTTGTGCCCATGTTACAGTGCAGGTCAAGGAGGATGGCTGCTGTAAGCTGTACTACAAGGTGAAAGGTCTGCAAAGTGCATCATGGGACTTCGTGGAGAGAGAAGGGTATGCGTAATATTTACTTTTGCAGAACTCATCATCCTTACTTTGGGAATGTATTTTTAGCCGACCTTAACAAGTGGTTTATAATCTGCTGGTGGCGCTTTGTTTGGAATTCTCAATAAAAATCAAAGCACTTAGATCTGAGCTTGAGACATTTGGCTACAGCGCATGTGTTTAAGAAAACTTAGCAGGATTGTTCTCAAAATTCTCTTGTCCTCTGCATACATTTGCTTGTAGGAAATTACATCTGTGTTAAAACCTGTGAAGATCTGGGTTAGAATCATTGGGCGGTCGGTTAGCCTAGTGGTTAAAGCGTTCGCTCATCACGCCGAAGACCCGGGTTCGATTCCCGACATGGGTACAATATGTGAAGCCCAATTCTGGTGTCCCCCACCGTTATATTGCTGGAATATTGCTAAAAGAGGCGTAAAACCATACTCACTCACTCACTCACTAGAATCATGATACTCTAAATCTGTAAAGTTTTGCGAGCAGGAAAGCACTGCGAAAGGTGCGAGTGACACACACTTGCAGTAGTTTCATGATGCAGTTATTTTTGCTGACAAACAACAGACGTTGTCTAACCAGCTAGTACATGATTATACAAATTGTATTCCTAAGCCAGGAGTGTTTTTTGATCCCACCTGTTTTAATTTACAGAGCTCCAGATAAGCTTTTGGTGTTGTAGGTATTTTACCCATGCATTTTAAAATCATTGGGTATCAGTAATTCTATCTGGGTATTCAAATTTCTGTTACCCACTAGTTTTTACACATGTGGGTATTTAAGTTAAATATTAAAAAAACACTATTCATCTAGTCCCCGTTAACTGGTGTCGTGTGGGTTCGAGAGCTTTACAGGACTCAAAAATACCACGATACTTCCACAAGAAAGTGTGATGGCAAATGATCATGATGTAACTGTCATCGTGGAGTTTGGCAAGGTTGACGGAATGCCCGTTTATAACTTCAAAATAGGTTGCTGATTAGCTAATCGAATACACAAGGTTACTTCACAATCTTTTGATGATACGCACAAGTTTTATTTCTGTAGCGTATCTGTAATGTTCGTTGCGTATCTGTAATGTTCGTTGCGTATTTGATACGCTTGGATTTTATTTTACTGCCTATTTCTGCATTTCTGATGTGTATTTTACGCGGATACGCAGCTTATCTGGAGCTCTGATTTCTATCATCATCTGTTCTGAATTTCTTGTTGATAACTCCTGACTTTGATGTGGCCCCCTCCGTGGTAGAGAGTCAACCTGGAGATGGAAAGGTCCGGTGGTTCGATCCCCATCTGCATCATACCAAAAGACGTGTTAAGAGATGGTACTTGTTGTTACCCTGCCTTGCTCCCGGCATTAATGGGCTAAAACAAGGGCTGATTTCTATGATCATCTGTTCTGAATTTCTTGCTGATAACTCCTGACTTTGATGTGGCCACCTCCGTGGTAGAGAGTCAACCTGGAGATGGGAAGGTCCGGTGGTTCGATCCCCATCTGCATCATACCAAAAGACGTGTTAAGAGATGGTACTTGTTGTTACCCTGCCTGGCTCCCAGCATTAATGGGCTAAAGCAAGGGCTGGTATCTCAGTCGGCTAGCACTGCAAGAGCAGCATTAGTCTGGACTAGTACAAGCAGCCACACACTCACACATGCATGCACGTGCATCTGTGTGCAATAATCTTGGACGCAACGTTTGACCCCATTTCACCTCAACTGATAAATAGGTCAAATGTAGCTTTGATATTTGGTCATCGTAACAGGATATAGCAAAACTTTCCAGACAAAGTTTAGGCATTTGTTCATGGCACAAAACTTTGCACATTGACAAATCAGTTATCCTTCCCAGTTTGTAGATGATTCTCTAATCATTTGCTAACACTTTGTGAGAACTGGACATCTTTTATTGTTTCAGAAATTTCTATGCAGTGTTTGAAACAACGGTGAGTGGCCAGGGCTACTTCCACGAGTCCCTGGCAATACCACCTGACATCAGGTCAAGAATAGATGTCGCCACCAAGGGGCCCAAGAAAGACTTCTACAAGGTGAAGATCACTAAAACAGGCAGTTTTAAAATAGCCAGTTACTTCTCGACCAAAATGTGAAGCAAGTACAGAATGGGGCAGTGTGTTATCAGGATTGTTTTGAAATCTGCCTTCATGTTATAAAACTGTATAAAGTCTGTGATGCGGGGGTACGGGTGGCCCAGTCGTGGAAGGCGCAGCGATTCGCTGTGCAGAGTTGCGTCCCATGGGCACGCCAGAAGCCTATGATTGTGGGTTCGAATCCCGGTTCGCCCCGATTATGTTTCTAGGTTTGTCAGCACCATACCCGTGCTTGTGGGTTTCACCGAAGTCTTAAACGTCTGAGACCTGCATCACTTCGGGCTTTCCTCCCTCATTAAGCTGACACGCCACGATATAACTGGAATACTGGAAAAAAGCGGCGTTAAACCAAACTCACTCACTCACTCACTCTTTATTATGAGGAACACAACGTTTCGGAGTATATGCTTTCTCCTTCATCAGGTGAATGGATGCTAGGATGCATGGAGCATATATATGTACTTGTGAAAAACAACAAAAGTAATATGATAAAAAAGGTGGAAACATTAACAAGCGAATCCAATAGTTACTTAGTGCTGATTGGTGAAACTGTATTGTCAGCATGGTCAATGGTGCTGTTTTAGAATGGCAGTTGTTAGAAGAATTTGTGAAGGTGTACCTGTAATTGTTTTGTGATTTTTTTAGGCTTTCTCAATTGCTTGGTTTTAAGATTTTTTGTTTCAAAAAGCTGGTGAATGTTTGTGGTAGGGATAGATCTGAAAAATGTGTTTTGAAATCATGTTTTTTAATTGTGATCTTATTACAATAATTAATTGCTGATGAACTAAAGTAAAATTGACAGACTGTCAACAAGGAAATAGATACTGTTCAAACTAATTTGACTGATAAGATTTTGGTCAGTGTGTTAAAGCCTCTGTGAGATAAAAATGACATGCTTTTAAATTTATAATTTTGTTCCTAATGGTGTAATCAAGATTTTGATTTATAAGTGAGAGATTTTGATTTTGTGCAGCTTTGAACCGTATTCCAGTTATGGCACAACACATCAGCTTGATGTGGGAGGAAAGCACGAAGTGATGCAGGTCTCAGACTTTTACAACTTTAGTGAAACCCACAGAGCATGAGTATGGTGCTGACAAACCTAGAAATATAGGGCGAAGTGGGATTCGAACCCATTACCATAGGTTACTGGCATGCCCAAGGGATGCAACTCTGCATAGGAATTGCAGTGCTTAGCCACCTGGGACACCCATGCTCCCCTTGGGGAGTTAAGTGTGCAACAAGATCACTACCTTGATCAATCTTTGATATTTGGTAAATGGGAGCTGGATTAAGCAAATGATAAGCTTCTCACCTTCCTTTTCATTGAGATTGATGAAACCCTTTCTCCAATTTACCAGGATAAGGCTTTATGTTTTTATTTGATAAGTTTATGGATCCCTGACCTAAAAAATGATAATATTCAGAATGAAAACAGTTTTTTTTATACCACTGACAGTAAAGATCCTTTTGACAATACAAATAATCACACATCATTATACCAAGTCAGATTTTAGACATATAATATTTTTAATGACCCAAACCAGACCATGATGTTTTTTGTGAACACCTACTGATCCAAAGCAAACTTTGATCTGATTTAAAAAATCATGTAAATGCATTATATTTTCTGTATATTTTTACCTACCGATAAAATGTTTCACGTTCAAATGCAGTAAACCTAAAGGGAGGTGGGGTAGCAGTCGCACGTCACACCGATGACCCAGGTTTCTGTTCCCCACATGGGTACAATGTGCTCAGCCATTTTCTGGTGTCCCCTGTGGCATAAATCAATACTCGCTCGCTCGCTCACTCACTCACTCACTCACTCACTCACTCACTCACTCACTCACTCACTCACTCTTCCACTCACTCACTCACTCACTCACTCACTCTCACTCACTCACTCACTCACTCACTCACTCACTCACTCACTCACTCACTCACTCTCACTCACTCACTCACTCACTCACTCACTCACTCACTCACTCACTCACTCACTCTCACTCACTCACTCACTCACTCACTCACTCACTCACTCACTCACTCACTCACTCACTCACTCACTCTTCCACTCACTCACTCTCACTCACTCACTCACTCACTCACTCACTCACTCACTCACTCACTCACTCACTCACTCACTCACTCACTCACTCACTCACTCTCACTCACTCACTCACTCACTCACTCACTCACTCACTCTCACTCACTCACTCACTCACTCACTCACTCACTCACTCACTCACTCACTCACTCACTCACTCACTCACTCACTCACTCTTCCACTCACTCACTCACTCACTCACTCTCACTCACTCACTCACTCACTCACTCACTCACTCACTCACTCACTCACTCACTCTCACTCACTCACTCACTCTCACTCACTCACTCACTCACTCACTCTCACTCACTCACTCACTCACTCACTCACTCACTCACTCACTCACTCACCCACCCACCCACCCACCCACCCACCCACCCACCCACTCACTCACTCACTCACTGTGAACATGATGAAGGCTCATTTGTTTGTTTTTTCCTCTTGTGTTCATCCTGTGTACCTGTGAGGCTGTATATTTGTCACAGACTTCATATAATACACATTTTTCATAAATAAATATTTCTCAGTGTGCCCTTCAAGCCCCAGAAACTTATTGTAACTGTGTGGCTCTGATTTGGCCCATGCTATTGGCACTCCACTGCCCAGGAACTTTGGGTTAGTGAGTATGGTTTTTTGCCGCTTTTAGCAATATCACAGCAATATCACAGCGGGGGACATCAGAAATGGGCTTCACACATTGTACCCATGTAGGGAGTTGAACTCGGATCCTTAGCTTGATGAGTGAATGCTTTAACCACTGGACTAGCCCACCGCCCCGCTAGGAACTTTGAAGCCTGGATATACGTTTGGTCATCAGTTAATGATGAAAATGCCTTATGAAGTCTTTGATTATATATGCAATACAGGAAATATGTTTTTATATATTTGAATTGATATTTCCTTCAACTGCTAGTCTGTCAATATACATCTTTCTGACATGTTTTTTATTTTAATTGTTATTGTTTACATTGCATTTATGCGTTGAGATCTCTTTTACTGAGAGGGGGCGCCGCGATTCGCTGTGCAGAGTTGCGTCCCTTGGTCACAACAGAAACTTAATATATCCGGGGCCCAGTTGGCCCAGTCGTCAAAGGCGCAACAATTCGCTCTGCAGAGTTGCGTCCCTTGGGCATGTCAACAACCTATGATCGTGGGTTCGAATTATGGCGTGGATCGATGCTCATGATATTAATCACTGGATTCCCTGGTCCAGACTCGATTATTTACAGACCGCCGTCATATAGCTGGAATATTGCTGAGTGCGGCGTTAAACAACAAACCAACCATCTTATTTCACACAAATATGCAGCCTTTCTGGAGCTCTGGGGACAATTATACTGCATAGCGGCCATATTGTATTCACATCTGATGGAGGAATTTAGTGTATACAGACACATAAAATAGTGATGATGATCCTGTGCTGTGGTCAGTTTCTATAATGCTTTGGTCATATATTATGTTGGAATACTGTCTCTATTATTCTGTTAGCCTGTATTGGCTTTATAGTCTGTCGATGCTTTCTGTGTCCAAGTTGATTTTTGTTGTCAGTAGCAGCAAATTTGTCATCAGGGATGGACATTAGCACTGGTTAGACCAGTTTTGCTAAGGTTAAAGGTAACAGGAAGAAGATTTTACAACATTTTAGAGGTATTTCTCCATGTCATCGCTATTCAGGTTAGTAGACGTTCTTGGTTAGATTCTATTCCTGCTGATCAGCTTATCAGAGTTTTGATGAAGTAGTCTCTCTGTGGTGACGATGTCTCCCTTGTATGGACAAGGACTGATGTGACTTACACGAATACAGCCATTTCACAAACTCCTAACTCAAAGGATGGTTTTCTTAAGATTTTTTGTTAGAGACAGCGTTTTTTTGGTCACTGCTTTAAAACAACATCCAGCAGATCCAGCCAATAATGTATTTATTACAGAGTTTCTTTTAAAAAAATCATCCACCCAACTCACTATTTGGTGCTTCTTTTTGTATACATTGGAAAAGAATTCAACAATGTTGAACAGCTGTGCTGTAGGTTGAACAGTGAATGGTACAGTATTGTACAATATCTTTGTTTGTTTGTTGTTTAACGCCGCACTCAGCAATATTTCAGCTATTTGATGGCGGTCTGTAAATAATCAAGTCTGGACGAGACAATCCAGTGATTGATATCATGGGCATCGATCTATGCAATTGGGATACGTTGACATGCATCAACGAAGTCGGCAAGCCTGACCACCCGGTAGGCTGTTCACAAGCATAGTCACCTGTTACGACAAGCATAGTCACCTGTTACGACAAGCATAGTCACCTGTTACAACAAGCATAGTCACCTGTTACGACAAGCATAGTCACCTGTTACGACAAGCATGTGTTGCTGAAGACCAATTCTACCCCGGATCTTCACGGGTCTGTACAATATCTAGTCAGTTATGTAACTTTCTACTTTATTATTATTAAATATTTGTTTGACCATGTTGACTGAGATGTCGCCAGTGCAATAGCAGCTCAAAAACTCACCATGGGAGGTAGAGATGAATTATGGCATTTGCGCATCTGCCTACAGATTACTCTCATTAAATGCCAATTTAATGAACCGAGCCAAAAGTGTTCACAGGAATTCTATGTAACTTGGGTAATTTCCACCTTTTCCCTCATAACATGTCATATATAAATATGAGGTGAAAACAATTAGAATAAACTTTTCTATTAATTCATTAACCAGTCAGTTTCAAGGTTGTTTTGCTAAATTGATCACCTTTTGCTTATATACGTAAGCAGATGACCTGTAAGCTATCAACTGATGAACGCTACCAGACTCTATGACAAGAGGGAATTTGAATAGTCAACTTTCTTTATATGATGAGAAATATTCCAGCAGCTCCAGCCATTTGTGTCACTACATTTGAGGTAAAATCAACAATGCTCTTTCTAACATGATTTCAAAAAGCTTTTTAACTCTCAAATGTTTGTTTTTTTATCCGGGATACAGCATTAATGGCCTTAAAAGAGCTTTGAAAAGGTTTTATGGTAGACGTGTGGAGGGCATATCCAAATGCAGTTACCTGTTTGGACTTGCACATATTCCTCTGTTCCTTCAGGTGAATACTTGACTTGCCTTTGCATGTGTTTGTGACAGGTTCTACTGGTGGGGCAAGATAAGCTACATTTCAGCTGACTGTTTGATTGTAATTCATAAACAAATGCTATTGATAGAATCATACAATGGACTCATTTTGTAAGGTGTCCTTTTAATTCTACATTACATTGTTATCTGAAATTATCACTTAAATGAGAAAGCTTTGTTTGATGCAATTTTGATCTTTCCACAAAATGACCTGTGCATTGTGACTGTCATTAGTGGCAAAGTTACGGTATGCATCTCGCTGTGCACATTTACATCTCTTTGGTGCCAAGATCTGCTGATATTTGTTCATATGTCTTCATTTGTTCATCATTTTGCATGTTTTTGTGCTGTTTACCTATGTGGAAATACATTTATCACTGGCATTATATAATCAACATCATCACAAGACATTGTGTTGACCCTTCAGGAACAGGACCTATTTTAACCATGCCATTACGATTCTACGCATGCCAGCGGCAGTAAAGAACAGTGAATTTCAAAGGTTCCCTCACCAGTTATCATTATCCCCCTTGGGTCTATCAGCACCACACCCATGTTCATGGGTTTCAGGAAAGTGCTGAACCTCTACAACATATATGTTCAGTGGCTTTCCTCATGCATTTACCTGAGCAGGGTCAATCTCATTAAAATCAGATCTTAGTTCTTGCTACCGCTAAACAAAGATCTGAGGACATCCCATTACGGGACCGACCGACCTTGCGCAAACTTTGATCGACCAATGGAATGACCAATCAGAAGGCAGCTTTGTCGTGCTTTAGGGCACTACTTTCAAATTGGCGACTACACTTCGAAACATATTTTGACAAATTCTCGATTACAAATTTGAAACCTGAACAAAAGAACATTCTGGAATGGCTAATAGATGGTCTAGATTGTATGGATTCAGTCGTTAAACCCGTAACTATTGTTCGGAATGAAGTTTTCAAGGTTGCACGATTAGAAATCACATTCCGACTGTCACTTTCATAATCTGGTAAGCGACGCTCTGATTGGACAGATGAAAGGTCGTTCTGACGTGAGCCCCAGTGGGATGTCTTCAGATCTTTGTTTAGCGGTAGATTGGAGCAGGGTATACTCCACGATCGCACTGAAGTATCTTGCATGTATTGTATTCTTGTCAAATATCAACTGCGTCACATATCTGATCTGATTGTACATGTGTTATCTGGAACGGACTTCAGTGTATTTTGTAATGCCCTATCTTTTATCTTTCTCATGGACATTGACATTTTATGTTTGTTTAAACTGATCTGGGGTGAACCTTTACAAGGAGAAATATATTTATGTATGTTGATGACCTTTTCTTTTTTTATATTATGATGTAATGGAGCCTTAATGCATTTCATGACCATTAACTTGACTTGATATTCATGCCAATAAATGTTCATTTTAATAGAAATTTTGGTTTGTTAAATTCTGAATTCCTTATGGTATTATTGTTTGTTTAATGCCAAACTCATCCAATAATATATATACCGCCTCCATGGTCGAGAGACCCGTGACGATCCGGGGTAGAATTGATCTTCAGCAACCCATGCTTGCCGTAAAAGGTGACTATGCTTGTCGTAAAAGGCGACTAACGGGATCGGGTGGTCAAGCTCGCTGACTTGGTTGATGCATGTCATCGATTGATATTAATCACTGGATTGTCTGGTCCAGATTGATTATTTACAGACCGCCGTCATATAGCTGGAATATTGCTGAGTGCGGCGTTAAACAACAAACCAACCAACCAACCAACCAAAGACTTTAAAAGATGGTACTTGTTGTTACCCTGTCTGGCGCTCGGCATTAAGGGGCTAACACAAGGACTAGTCAGCTTGTAGTCAGTATACTGTGTCTGAGTGGGGTATTCATGTTAAACTGCGGCATGGTATCTCAGTGAGCTAGGACTATAAATCGGCATCAGTCCGGACTAGTACAAGCAGCCACACAAACACACACATGTACATGCACGTCGCTATATAAGTGCAATAATCTTGGACGCGACATTAAACCCTATTTCACCTAACCTCACCAATAATCTATACGCACATCACCTTTGGTTTCCCACCAAAATTCAGCTAAAAGCCATAATATAACTGCAGCAGCCATGCCTTATTGTGCAGCAAACAATTCCCAAACATATTCTGGTACAGACAAACCATTGTTGATAGTGTAACATTTCACCAGATTACAGACAAATCATTGATCAGTGCCAATTCACTTACAGGTCAATGTTCCAGACATGCCTCAGTGTGTAACAATTCACTCCTTCTTATTGTGTAACAGTTCACACACCCGTTCTGGTACCATTTCTGACTGAGGGGCGGTCGGGTAGCCTAGTGGTTAAAGCGTTCGCTCGTCACGCCGAAGACCCGGGTTCGATTCCCGACATGGGTACAATGTGTGAAGCCCATTTCTGTTGTCCCCCGCCGTGATATTGCTGGAATATTGCTAAAAGTGGCGTAAAACCATACTCACACACTCACTCATTTCTGATTGTGTAACAATTTACCTACCTATTACGTTATAGAGAAACCTTACCTCTAACATTACATCAAAATGAATCACTGATTGACGATGACATATATGTAACTGTTTCAGTGTGGGTAGGTTGCAATAAGCGACTATATAAATAACATACAACTCAAATTGGATCTCCATGTGTGTGGATAAAACAAAAATTTGAATTTCAAAATATATTCTTTATTTTTTAATGTTGTAACAAATGAAAAGATGTTAGCGAATGAATGTTTTTTGTTCATTCATTGTATTGTTTTGAGTAGCTTATAAAAGGATATCAATGTAAAAGCGGAAAGCACCTGTGTTTTAGAAATGAACAGACATGATATAAAATCTTCATATAAAAGCAATGCAATATCTTTTCTGCAGCGCTGCACATGTAGGGCACAAGTCCAGATCATAATATATTATTTGTAAAGCAAAAAAACGTGTGTTTGAAATAAACTATTTGGAATAGGTTAATGTTCATACATGATTTTTATATTGTGGCTAACTAGTAGCTAAGCCTCGATAGCCTCTTATGAAGCATTTACACCTGTGCAACTAGCTTTGATTCAACATGCCAACAAATTGGACTGTTGAATTCGGAGGCAATCAATGGTATTCACATGACAGTATGCAGCCATTCGTACCTTTGCTAACTGGAAAAAATAATGTAAATGCATGGTTTAAGTGGGGGGTGAAATGTAACAGGCAACTAAAAAAAGGCTATTGTAACCATGAAAACCATTTGTGAATTGTTCAGCCCTGACGCTTATCAGTATCTTGACGTGACATGTGGCGTGCTAAGACCTGACTGTCGCTCTGCTTCTAAGGATGGATGTGTTAGGAAGTTGGTCCCCATGCTTAGGTCTTGGCGCAGCTTCGGATTTAGATTTCGTGTCTTCAAGCATAGTATCCAGGTCTTCAAACTGGTAATAGTTCGTTGGGACATCAACATCGTAATCTTTTCTATTGCTGTTGTAACCATGAAAAACATTTGTGAATTGTTCAGCCCTAAAGCTTATGAGTATCTTGACGCGACAAGTGGTCTGCTAAGACCTGACTGTCGGTCTGCTTCTTAGGCCTCTTATTCTTGTCGATGGCTTCAGAATGCAGCTTAACTGTTTGTCCCGATAGTTTCATGCCCTCGATGATTCCTGTAGTGGTCAACTTCATGGCGTACTTCTTGTACTCGTCTCCCCTCTCTGTCTCATCCACAACTTCAATCTGCTTCTTTTGTATTTGCTTCTCAAAGATTTGCTGAAGGTCTCCAATTGAAAAGGAAGAAACTAGCTCCTGATCCTTCTTTCGTCGGATGAACACCGGAGCAGATCCTGACGGCATCCTCATGATCGTCTCAACCCTGAACTTTTTACAAATTTCCTTTTCTGTGAATACTACTTGCGCAGTGCAGTAAGTGTTAGCTTCAACGTTGATATCACTGGTCGTTTCAAATGTCAGCGTTTCTTCAAACGTCTGACCGGTAGTTTTAGAGATCTCGAGACGTGTTTCCAGTCCTGCCTCTGCAACTCCAATAGAAAAGTTTGCCGAGCCCCCGATGGAAAATCCTGTCTGGAATGTGACGTTCACTGAGGCTGTTCTTGCCCGTTCCATCCTGAATTTATAGATCTGATCCCTGTTGGTGTCATTCTGATAGTCTGTGGATAGGATGGATGTGTTAGGAAGCTGGTCCCCATGCTTAGGCCTTGGCGCAGCTTCGGATTTGGATTTCGTGTCTTCAAGCTTAGTAGCCAGGTCTTCAAACTGGTAATAGTTCATTGGGACATCAACATCGTAATCTTTTCTTCTGATGAAGTGTTTTCTCCAAAAAGTTGCTTTGTCGACGAATTGATCCCATGCCCAGTCCTGTATCTTTTTTTGTACGTCTAAAATTGGGGAGATGTCCTCAACCTTTGATTCACCGCCACAGATCATGGTGACCAGTTCTGAAAAATAAACGATTTTGTGAAAGCGAAACAATTTTACACAAACATACAGGTCATCACGCGAGTGTTTTTTTGAGATTGTAAATATCCTGTATTAGGAATAAACACTATGATTTCAGCTCGTAGTGTTTGTTCCTCTCTATACGATCCCAAAACACACGAGCAGATAAACGTGTTATGATTTATTTCAGTCTTAAATTATATCATTGAGAAAAAGTATTCTCACGTCTCACCTGACCATTGCGATGTTTTGTGGAATGTGATTATTAATATAGTATGTCCCAAGCTCAGTGATTAGTCTGACAAAGTTCCAACTGAAACTTATTGTTCGACATTGAATTTCGGTACATAGATAATAATTCTAAAAATTATAACAAACACACGATAGACATAACGATATGATTCAATTAACACTTGTTTTGGGTTTTTTGTGTGTTGATTAACGTCGCACTCAGCAAAATTTCAGCTATATGATTGCAGTCTGTAAATAAATCGTGTTTGGACCAGACAATCCAGTGATTGACATCATGAGCATCGATCCACGCAATTGGGACCGATGACATGCATCAACCAAGACAGCGAGCCAGACCACCCGATCCCGTTAGTCGCCTATGAAGTTGAGCGACACGAACGGTGGAGGAGACAGATCACTGCTTCACCACGATACCCCGATATCGAACTACGATAACTCGGCCACCAACGGAAGTCACCAACAAGGTAAAACTACCCTCCATACTCTCTATACGAAGATAAGGAATCGCCAGGCCTTGACGAATGAAACCATGGAGATTAGGAATTGTATAGAGTTTATGCATATTGATGTAACTGACCTGAAAATAGCTCAAACCGATCTGAAAAATGACTTGCATGCTGCTACGGAAGCCGTTTTAAATGTGTCGTCAAATGTATTCAAGCGAAGTCGTAAGAGGCGACTAACGGGATCGGGTGGTCAGACTCGCTGACTTGGTTGATGCATGTCATCGTATCCCAATTACGTGGATCGATGTTCATGATATTAATCACTGGATTGTCTATTCCAGACTCGATTATTTACCGACCGCCGTCATATAGCTGGAATATTGCTGAGCGCGGCGTTAAACAACAAACCAACTAACCAACCTCGTTCCAGCAAGTAATTAGCATGGTAAAGAAGCTGACATAAAATCATATATTTGGACGATGTTATTAGTATCTGCAGATATATGTACATGTAATCTGTTTACCTGTTCTTTTGGACCCGTGAAGATCCGGGGTAGAATAGCTCTACGGCAACCCATGCTTGCCGTAAAAGGTGACTTTGCTTGTCGTAAAAGGCGACTAACGGGATCGGATGGGGGACTTGGTTGATGCATGTCATCGATCCCAATTGCATGGATCGATGTTCATGATATTAATCACTGGATTGTCTGTTCCAGACTCGATTATTTACAGACCGCCGTCATATAGCTGGAATATTGCTGAGTGCGGCGTTAAACAACAAACCAACCGACCAACCAACCTGTTCTTTTGAGAGTCAAGATTAATGCTAACAAAGTGTGAGAATCCTTTTGGGTTTTTTCTTACATTGACATGTTGTGTAAATATTTTTTACTCTGACCTGAAATGCAAAGTTCTTTGTTTATGTTAAGTGTTTATGGTTCAAAAGATTATATACATAACGTTTCAGGTAAATGTTTTACATTAAGACCAGAAATGGTTTGCTGGATTATTGGATATTATATTTTAATGCTAACACGATCTTTGAGTATAAGCTTTACACTCCCTTAGCAGTTGAATACATAAGCTGAAACCTTTACATTAGGGTCTCAGGAGAAAGCGTTGGCTTGTTTCCATTTGCTCACGTTCTATCTTGGCACATATTTGAGATTAATGATAATTATTGTTACTCACCACGGTTGAAATTATTACATTAAATGTGAGGGGTCTTAGGGATAAAAACGAGGAGAGAAGTGTTCATGTTCTTGAAAAATCAAAATGCAGATATGTATATGTTGCAAGAGACTCAAGTGTCTTAAGTGTAAGTGTTATAAAAGATGAACCTTTTTGGAGACAGCAGTGAGAGAAATAATCACATATATTTTAGTCATTGTACATCAGACAATCGGGAAACAGCTGTTTTGATTAAAGGGAGACAACTCCAAGTCACTTCTGGGACATTCGATTACCAGGAAAGGTTTGTGATGTTAGAGTGAGGAAGTGAGCTGTGATTAACGCCACTTTTAACAGTATTCTAGTTATATCACAGCGTGTCAGCTTAATGTGGGAGGAAAGCCCGAAGTGAAAGAGGTCTTAGACGTTTACAACTTCGGTGAAACCCACGAGCACGGGCATGGTGTTGACAAACCTAGAAACATAATCGGGGCGAACCGGGATTCGAACCCACAACCATAGGTTTCTGGCGTGCCCGAGGGACGCAACTCTGCACAGCGAATTGCGGCGTCTTAGACGACTGGGCCACCCGTGCCTCTGTGATGTTACTGTATGAAGGGTGTACTGAAACAAGTGGTAAATGTGTATGCCCCAAATAATGAACAAGTCAGAGAGTTTTTTTCAAGTTTTTCAAAATAAATTTTGTAAAAGGTTTGTGGCAAGGGGTAGCATAGTAATTACAGGAGGCTCTGTTCTCAATCCATCAAAGCATAGTGAAACCTTAGATACTCTTATTGTTAAATTCCAGCTTACAGATATATGGAGAGAAAAGCATACTCAAGAAAGCATGTTTACCTGGAGGAAAAATAATACAACACAGTCTAGGATTTCGTAGTTATCAAGGGAGTGAGTTGGGTTTAACGCCAAGTCTGTATGTACCAGATGTAATTTTTCAATTATTATGCCAAGCATAAAATCAGATCACAAAAGTGTATCATCAGCAATAGATAAAGATAGGTATGTTGTTGCTAAATTTTGGAAAATGGATAATAAATATTTAGCAGATATATGTTAGAAACAAATTTGTGATTCTTTAAACATGTTAAATATGTTTTGTCAAACATCGTCTGCAAAATAGGAATAATAATCTGGAAGAGCAATATTTTGAATCCAAAACTGAAATGGTTTGATGAATGGGAAAATAGCAGGAGTTATTTTTACAGTTTAGAACAAAACAAACAAACAAAAAAACAAAGAGAAAAATATTTCAGAGATTGGAGCAGCAAAAACTGTAGTAAATACTGATGACAAGAGAATTCTTCAGAAATTATAAATCTTTTATGAAGATTTATTTTCACAGAAAGAATGGGCCCTAGAATCTGATTTCGATAACAAAAATGAGGGTGTTGAAGAAAGAAATACAGACTTTCAGAAAGAATAAATTGAAGTGGATTTACCAGAACAAGAACTGAAAACAAGCTTGAAAATCTAAATGTGACGGCATATCAACGGAGTTCTATCAGCAACTCTATGGTTACCTAAAAGTGCCTTGAGGAGTTTACAGTATACATTTCAAACAGGAAGGATGACAGTTTCTCAGCGACGTGGAATAATAACATTGTTGGATAATCAAGGCAAACATCCTTTGCTAATTGAGAACAAGAGATAATTAACTTTAAGATTATAGCAAAGGCTGTAGCTAATAGATCACACAAGAGGACAGTATGACAGGGAGTCATATCAAGGGGAACAGTGTGACAGGAAGTCATATCAAGGGGAACAGTATGACAGGAAGTCATATCAAGGGGGCAGTATGACAGGAAGTCATATCAAGGGGAACAGTATGACAGGAAGTCATATCAAGGGGAACAGTATGACAGGAAGTCATATCAAGGGGAACAGTATGACAGGAAGTCATATCAAGGGGAACAGTGTGACAGGAAGTCATATCAAGGGGAACAGTATGACAGGAAGCCATATCAAGGGGAACAGTATGACAGGAAGTCATATCAAGGGGAACAGTATGACAGGAAATCATATCAAGGGGGCAGTGGGTAGCCTGGTGGTTAAAGCGTTGCTAACGCCGAAGACCTCGTGTTGTAAAGCCCCACCCTTTCAGCACACCCCCCCCCCCCCCCCCAACTACCCCCCCCCCCCCCCCCCCCCCCCCTACACACCCCTACACACCCTACCTGCGATATTGCAGGATTATTGCTAAACTTGACGTACACATACACACTCAGTCAGTTATATCAGGACGTGCCAGATTGATTTGATGAGTTATCCAATATTGATGCAGTTTTGGGACGTTCACGGGTACAGTGATGACAAATCTCGAAACATAATAAGAGCGATCCCGAATTCGACCCCTTCCCATACAAACCAACCCATCCCATCCCCACCACCCCAATACCACCCCACACAACACTCAACTCATCCCACAACACCCTCAAACCCTCCCACACCATCGCGCAACACCCAAACCCCTTCTCACATAAACCTCCACCCCATCCCAAACTACCCAACCCCACCCGCATTCCACACCACCCCAATAACAGCACACGTCACCTCAACCCCATCACCCCACACCACCCTCAAACCATCCCACACCATCTCTCACCACCCAACCCCTTCCAACATTGACCCCACACCACTCGCATTTCACACCATCCCAATAACATCCAAATCACACCAACCCAATCCTACACCACCCACACCATCCAGAGCCCATCCCTCACCATCACAACCACATCATACACCACTCAACACCACCTCAACTCCACCCCACACCTCCCTAACCCACACCAAACCACCAAACGGCACCTAAAACCCGTCCCACACCAGTCTAACCACACACCACATCACCCAAACCCCCTCCTACACCACCCAACACCACTTTAAAACAATCCCCCACCACCCTCACCGCAACCCCACACCACATCACCTCAACCCCATCTTACACCACCCAGCACCACTTAAAACCAATCTCCCACCACCCTCACCCAACCCCACACCACATCACCTCAACCCCATCTTACACCACCCAACACCAATTTAAAACAATCCCCCACCACCCTCACCCAACCCCACACCACATCATCTCAACCCCATCTTACACCACCCAACACCACTTACACCTATCCCCCATCACCCTCACCGCAACACCACACTACCCGACACCACCCCTGCTGCATCACACACAAACCCCTGCGATCCCACATCACCCTGCCTCAACCCCACCCAACACCACCATCGGTGCATACAGGAAGGACATACACGCCTCAGGCAACCTTCCACCTACCCTGAATAACAGAGCAGTAACTGCGACGATCACACAGAACTCATGACATGACTATATTGTCGAATTGTTGTGCATCGACCTGTTTATTTAGCGCTCAGCAACGACGGCCTATTTCCCACAAAAGGCTAGCCCTAGATCTGTCACGGTCTATTTCATGTTTCGTTACTAAAGCTCTGAAATGTTATATGACGGTTGATGTCACAAATATTAATATATACAACGTTAGTGGTAGTAATTATCAAATTTCATCTTGCTTATAATGAGCTGTAGACGATGTGACTTGTGGCGCCGTCACGGACTTGTATATTCTAAAAATATATCTATAGGTACACATGAACTGCAAATATTATTACACCTATGCATCTTTTCCGTGTATAAACCAGGAACTGAAATATTACTAATGAATCATACTGGTTAATATTAAACGTTACATAATGCCTACCTTTGTAATACCCGTTTGTTGCTACATATACATATCACCCCGCGCTCATTCCAACAAGACCTGTTCTAACATAAGGTCAACACCACAGTAATAAAATCTCCCATCAAATGTATGCATTGATGAGCTTATAGTGTGTAACAACTCAAGATGCAGCATGCATAATTTACAGAAATACGTCAACAGTATAAAGCTGTTACCTTGAGTGCTGTAGTCGCAAGAAATCGCCTGTTCTCGTTACACGGCGTTGCATCTAGGTCACCGTGACATGCTGGCCCCAGACCTGCTATAGGCTGTAAAGGAATATGAAGCTGCATAAAGTGTGTGGTTGATAGCTGGGCCCTCACCCCACGATCGCTATATCAAATTGAGATCATATGAAAGTTAAGTCAATTGTCGTGACACGTGGGTGGGGGTGGGAAGGGATTTTTATTTTATAGAGAACATTATTTTTCCTTTTGAAAGTTAACTTGAATATGAAATGAATAATCTTATTTGACCCCCCTATTTGACAACGGCCTTGCTATTGAACCAAAATCACTTTCCCGGGTTTATTACTTTAGTGGATCATCAATTAAAACGTGTCACTTTCTCCGAGTAAATGCTTATATTTTGCACAAAACCTATTTTTAAAAAAAACAGTACGTGTTTACTCAAAGGATTGTAATTATAGTTCTTTCAACCAATTTGTAAACATCACAGACTGCTGTCTCTTGTGTAATTATAAAATTATGAATAAAAACAACAACAAGTCTCTTGCCTTTTCACAGATTAACAACAAGGGACATGAGTCCTGATAAAATCTCGCTAATGCGGACTATTGTCTTATCCGGATTAACTTTCTGTTCCGCTCATGTCTGCATGTAATGTATATTACTTTATGTTATTTTACTTTTTAAATATTATGTATATTTTACAGTCAAAATCTGCTTTTCTACAACGAAGAGAAAAAAATATTTTATATGTCTAGTGACGGGTAGTATATTTTATACACACTTTTACACTAATATATTTATGCTGTACATACTGTGATATATTTTAAGTCTCTCGTAACCCTTAACGGATGGCTCACTTATAAATACGTACTGTTTTATTATGTACAATTTTTTTATAGGTGAGACTCAAATACATAATCTGTCTGTCTGGTTTAAGGGGGCAGTCGGGTAGCTTAGCGGTTAAAGCGTTCGCTCGTCATGCCGAAAACCCGGGTTCGATTCCCGACATGGGTACAATGTATGAAGCCCTTTCTGGTGTCCCCCGTGGTGATATTGGTGGAATATTGCTAAAAGCTGCGTAAAACCATACTCACTCACTCACACTGGTTTAAGACCTATTGTAACGTTGATCTTCACGGATCCCACGCTCTGTGAACAGCCAAGTGAACACTTATTGTTGAAAGGTGATTGCGATGATCAGTACAGTTTGCCAATCAATGAAAGGGCTTCACGTGTGTGAGCATACGGCGAGGAAGCCAACTCTTTAACTATGAATCTGCCCTGCCGCCCTTTAGTTGATTAAAACATGGACACAGGAAACCTGCAGATACTCGTCTCAGTCCAACATTGGCCCGGTCAACACTGGTAGAATCCATATCGGAACTATAGTCCTCGACACTTGATGGTTGGTTTGTTGTTTAACGCCGCACTCAGCAATATTCCAGCTATATGACGGCGGTCTGTAAATAATCGAGTCTGGACCAGACAATCCAGTGATTGATATCATGAGCATGGATCCACGCAATTGGGATCGATGACATGCGTCAACCAAGTCAGCGAGCCTTACCAACCGATCCCGTTAGTCGCCTTTTACGACAAGCATGGGTTGCTGAAGACCTATTCTACCCCGGAATATTCACGGGTCTTGAAAAAGAATCACGAAATATTGCGATGATTAATGGACGAAAATAGCTAATACTGTACGAATACAGTGAAAACGAGCAATTCGGCTATAAGGGAATATCACAATGTGTCACTTGGTCATATCCTGGTTTCGGTTTCGTGATACCTCCGCTCGCTGATTTATTTCCGCAAAGTCCGGCGGTCGGTGTTGGACAGTGTCATTCAAAGCTAGAGAATTACTGACCCCCATATTTTTAACTCTTGTGATTTAATCGCACATTCTTATCATGTATCGACTTGATGTTTGTAATCCCAAATATGTTCGCTACCTCATTCATGTGTCGAAAAAATGTTTTAAAGCTATGATTTTCAAAACATGAGGTGAATTTATATGTACTCGTAGATAATTCCAATGTATTTATGACCCGTGATGATTCCGGGGTAGAATAGGTCTTCAGCAACCCATGCTTGCCGTAAAAGGCGACTATGCATGACGTAAGAGGCGACTAACGGGATCGGGTGGTCAGGCTCGCTAACTTGGTTAATGCATGTCATCGATCCCAACTGCGTGGATCGATGCTCAAAATATCAATCACTGGATTGTCTGGTCCAGACTCGATTATTTTCAGACCGCCGTTATATAGCTGGAATATTGCTGAGTGCGGCGTTAATAAACAAACCAACCACCCAACCAATTAGAAACACACCTTGTCCAAACGCCCCAGACTATTGTATTCCCCGGCTGTCCAGGAGAGATTGGCAAAATATTTAAACTTTGTTGAGATCTTGTGTCTTGATCCCCAGGCTTCGTTATAGATCGTTAACGATTGGCATGCTACTGGGTGGTTGCGCGAAACTCATATGTCGTAAAAAAGTCATGAAGTGGCACTTTGGATCTAGTGCCGACTTACTCTGGTTGTAGTTAGCTCAACCTAGTTGTTAGGGTTTGCAATACTCAGTTTTTCTAGTATTCCGTGGATAAGCTGATTGTCTAGCTTTTTGGGTATTTTAGAATTTTCTTGCTCATGCATGACATCGTATCCCAATTGCGTGAATCGATGCTCATGATGTCGATCACTGGATTGTCAGACTCGATTATTTACATACTGCGTTAAACAAACAAACAAACAAAACAAATAATTTTGGAAATTTTAAGTTCTTTCCGATTATCACCCTTTTTTGAAGAGTACAAAAAGGTGAAAGTAATGTACTTATAATGAGTAAAGTTAGTTTTCGATTGCAATGTCAAATTGTAATCTGTTTCTTTGCGTCTATAGTGGTTCCCGATTTTGAAACGTGACACTTATTATTTGTGCTTAGAGTAGGATGTTTGCGTACAGATTGTACATGTTCCCCATCAGTGCGTTCTAGAAATGGCGCAGTAGATCACGGGATATCAGTACAGGCTTGGTATGATCGTATATCTAACTGTGAGTGATAAGTCCACAGACAAGACTGATTGGCCGTCCAGTGTCTGACTGTCAGCAGTAAAAATAGATGTCCCGGGGTGTTAAAAAATTGGTATCCCTGCTGGTTAAATGGTGAAATGTGCAAGTTAATATTTGTATACATATGATCGTACTATTTAGCTGTGTGATTATTTGCACTTGGTCAGACCGACTCTTACATCATCTCAAACACAGATAGTTGTAAATTTAGAACACTACAAAGTTTGCCAATTGTTAGATTATTGCCATTGCAAAATTGTTCATTTCAAAATATAGACAAAATACTCTTAAATATTTGCCTTTTTTAAACTTCAGAAGTCGTTATTCAAATATTCAGTATTCAAAGAGGATATTGTATCGATATTTTATTTCATTACTCAGTTATCTTACAAAATGTAGTTAATTAATTAACACCACATTAAAATATATTTAATCACCACATAAAGTAGAAATATAGGCAATTGTTGCAAGTCAAACGAAGAGCATGTGACTTACTGCTGAAGCTGTTCATGTATATGCATTCCAGGACTTTTGATGACATGTTACTTTCTAAATGGTATGGTCACGTGGTATAACAAAATTAAAATGACCTTCATATAACCTGAGACGACAACGTCATCAAACATCAGTGATATTTAGTCCACACGACAGAGCTAATTTTAGAAAATGACGAGGTTCTTAGAATGAAGACCAATAGGATTTTTGTAACAAACAAAAAACGACACCCAGATAAAACGTTGAAGGTAGTTGTCGAGCAGAGCGCCGGGACTTTCGTTGACGGATTACGTTGGACTATCTCTGATGTAAGTTTAGAAAACAAATACACGTTTGAATTCTTTGGTCCCTTAAACATTGTTTACGGATTTAGAAATGTTATGAAAATGATGTTCTCACATTTTCAATAATGTATTAATGTAATTCCTCTCTAATCAAAATGTTTGATATGATATAAACATATTGTGGTATGAATCGTAGTATAACAATGTAATCAAGTTTAATATGCATCAATAATTGTTGATTTTTTTGCTTTAAACTACGCAATAAATCGCAAGCGCTTTTTCTGAAATCTTGAAAAAACGTTTTCAACGGTGGAAGTACTCAGTACCTATGTTTCTGAAATTAAGTTATCTTCAGGGATAAAAAAAATCCTTACTTTCAAAGTGAATCAAGGAATTTTGAATCTCTAAGCAATTGAAAAGGGTGTTTGAATTTGATATGACGGAATGCAGGAGAACATTTCTTGCGATTGGTTTGTCAATTGCCGTTGCGTTAAAAATGTATGACATAAGCATTACAAATATGTTTCACAACCACTCATGATACATTCAGCTGATTTCATTGGATTAAATCAATGATCTATATGTTGTTGGTTTTGTCTTGTGTTTTTCACTGACACACTTGTGGACCAGACAAATACCCTTTTTCCTAGGGCGTTTGTACATTCACGTCGTATCCAATGCAACGTTATCGCATAATCATTGTAATGTTACAGTTACAAGCAATAATGTCTCGTGACCTTGTGAGTGATTGAATGAGTGTGCTTTTATGCCTCTTTTAGCAATATTCAAGCAATATCATAACGGGGACAGTAGAAGTAAGCTTAACACATTGTAGAGAATCGAACACGGGTCTTCGGTGTGACGAGAGAACGCTTTAACCAATAGACTAACCCACAGAACTTATGGCCTTATGTCGATATTTAGACGATCTTGGTTCCTATTTCTTGCAGATATCATAGTTTGTCATCAATGGAGCCTGTAAATGGTAACGTTGTCATACCTTTTATTTCAATCGAATAAATCTCAAGATGTTATCTTAATTGCATTATGGTAATATCTGTTCAATTTAAGAACTAAAATAATGCTGTCTTTGAAAGTCAATTTAAAGAGATTATCATCATCAGGCGAGGGAGTAAGTGTATACTCCGAAACGTTGTGTTCCTCATAAGAAATAAGTTGACATCCATAAATTCTCATTCTTATAATAATCCCAAACATTTTCTGTAGTTGTAGTTGTCAGGTTAATGTATTGCTAACACAAGTTCTGCAACTACTCAGTTCAATGTG